TCCATGAGCGCCCGGTAGGTCGGAGTAGGTAAAGTCAGGCCTCTCGACGACCCGAGCGATAGGAAAAGGAAGGCACTAAAACAAAAACAATATTAAATGTAGATAAGGGTAAATACGTAAATTCTAACTCGGATAGAAGGCAAATAGCAGGCCGGAAGGCAAGTCAAGTAAGCCCCACTGAACAGGGCCAGGAGCTAACCTTACGCAGGAATAACTACCGATATCTAGATGGATACCGGGAGGCAGTTAGAGGGTTAGTTGTTAAAGACAAGGAAACAACGTGTCCCCCTGTAGGCGTCTGAGTACCGGTCCCTGCCTGTGCGAAGTTCTCCTTGGAGATGTGCCGTTGCCGGGCAGGTGTAAACCGTGGATGCGTGCCAGGAGTCTTCATAAGAAACCTTGCCCTTCAGGCATGAGGTTTAGGACCTTCACCCTTCCCACCATACTCAGGTGGCCGTATACTGGCGTCCTCTTGGATAGTATGGCAACGGTGCTTGCCTGGACACCTGCCTATCTCCATGTCACTAGTGGGTACTGGGTTTTCCTCAGTGATATTCCCCCAGGCCTGCAGCCAAAAGGGGGTTCGGCACCGAGAGAGCAGGCCTGTCAGAAGGGCACAGGCGCAGCAGGCCAAACGAATGGGCACAGAATAATTGGCCAATCAAATAGGCACAGACATAGCAGGCCATTCAAATAGGCACAGACATAGCAGGCCAATCAATGGGGCACAGACATAGCAGGCCAATCAAAGGGACACAGACAGAGCAGGCCCGTGATAGCGTTCTGACAGCCGTAGAGCCCATCTGCGTGTGTAGAGTCCACTATATATATATATATATATATATATGTGCGTAATGAAACAGTGAAACCTTGGGTTAAATAATTTCAATATGTAAAACCCTCTAGCAGGGTAGTAATGTGATTATAAAAGTATTTTTACATAATACCTCTGGATAAAGTTGCTATAATGTCTCCAGTCTAATATCACAGATGTTACAACTACTACTGATGAAGTGCTATACCACTATACAGGGAACTGGAAGACTTTAATGTTTGGCCAAAGGCAGAAAACCAAACTGCAGACATCTCAGAGCAGTACAGGGTGTACTCTCCCCCGCCCGGTTGGACACAAGCGGTCCGCGGGCAGAGGCGCGGCCACGTGGGAAAGGAGATCCGGCCGCCGGGTGCTCGTTTCGAGCTCCCCTGCGACCGGAAAAAACACACACGGGACCACCGAAGATGAACTCTGCGGTCCCGGAGCTCGGGGATCGAAGGAGGCAGATGCAGTCAGTTATTTTTTGTTCCACCTTTGTCCTTATGTCTGGCGGTGTCTGTGTGCACCGCTCGGGGGGAGCGGTGCACACAGACACCGCCAGACATAAGGACAAAGGCGGAACAAAAAATAAAACAATGAGCATACACAAAGTTGGGAGACGGACAGGGGGGACAAGGCCAAGGGGATAGAGGAGACAGGAGGACCCCAAACTAAACATGTATATAACAGTGATAGCCTGAAGTTACAAGTAAAAATAAAGTCTCACAGGGGTTTTAACAAAACTGCATGTGTAAGGAAAATTTACACATGGACCAAGGTAATACTGCATATAAAATGAATCCCACAAGGCCTAAATAAAAAATTCTGTAAAGATATTCAATATATAAGCATAAAAAATCCCACAAGGGAAAATAAAATACTGAATGTGACGAAATGCCTTTTGTCCCTGGATTGTTAGGTGACAAGCTGCCCTTTGCCCCCGGCTTTTGGAGGAGCCTGATTGCCAGCCTCCTTCCTCATGACTATGGCCCTGGGGTGTATTGCCATTTAAAAAGACTAGTTGGGGCTTATTGGCTTCTACAGACAGTTTCTTCCCATTGGAATCCATGGGAAGGTGTGTTTCTTCCCCTCCCTGTTTCCTGTCTATTGTTCTCAAGCAGGGAGTTGTCCCAGGGACACTGCCTGACCAGTGGGAACTGGTTTGGGCAGGAAAAGCCATGCTTCCTTGGGTCACTTCTAACTAACTTTTGAACTAATGGAAGGATTTGCATGATTTTTGGGTATGTTTGTGTTTGGGATGTGCTGATTAATAATATGTGACTTTATTTATAAAGTATTAATAATATTGGATGTATGGTGTTAGAGTTATGAAAGTTGGGTAAAAAGTGTGTTTTAAAATGTATGGATAATTGGGTTACCTCTCAGGCTAAGGGATGGAGATGTGTGGGATGTAACCATTGTGCGATTGGTTGTACTGTGTCCCACCCTGTGGGATGTCCCCTTGCATGGGGACTTGCATAAAAGCCAGTATGTGGTCATTAAAAGCAGATCATCTTGTACCTTCATGAAGTTTCGGCTCATGTTTGGGGGATTGGAGAAACTACACTCTGGGGATTGCTATAATCACTATACTCCCCAGGGTATAATCACTAAACTCTGCTAAGAGCTTGTTCCTGTTCCTGCTCTCTGGAATTCGGAGAGAGGTCGACCTGCTGGAAGCTGGACCCTGGTCCTGGGTCCAGAGTGGGTGGAGACGGCGAGATTCGGTTCCGTTACACTGAATATGAAGAAAAAAATCCCACAAAGAACATAACAATATTGTATTATAAAAATAAGATCCCACGTGGATTCTAACAAAACTGCATTATAAGAATAAAATCCCACAAGGATTCTAACAGTACTGCATTATAAAAATAAAATCCCAAGTGGATTATAACAATACTGCATTATAAAAATAAAATCCCACATGGATTATAACAATACTGCATTATAAAAATAAAATGCCACAAGGATTACAACAATACTGCATATAAAAATAAAATCACACGTGGATTATAACAATACTGTATTCAAAAATAAAATCCCACATGGATTATCACAATACAGCATACAGGAATAAAATCATACAATGATTTTAACAATACTGCATTTATAAGGTTAAAATACTGAATATAAGCAATAAAACCACAAAGCCACCCACTATAAGCAGGAGGCAGTGGTACTCCTGTACTGACTGCGGAGCAGAAAAGAAAGAGGAAATGATGCATGGGGAGGGGAGTTTTATAGTACCTAACTTTCTTCTGATTGGTTGTTTGTCTGTGCTGCTGTGGAGTTCTAGTAAAGAGAGACTTAAGCAAAAATATGAAGCCTTTACATAAATATATATTTACTGATTCTCTATTTTTCCACTTTATTAGTCATTTCTCACTTCATCTATGGATAAAATCAACATTTAGTAGCTGTTTCTTAACCATCAATCCTTTTTTCTTATTAATCATTTATTCATTCATTCATTCATTCCTGGTTTGTTTTTTTGTTGGTACACGGGCGAAACTCACAAATCAACTGAAACTGTGGGTCCATTGTCCGTTTTGGTTGTTTCGGAATTCCGTCATATGGTGATTTGGAGTTACGGAATTTGGACAACCCATGATTGCCAAAAATTTGGATGGTTCACAATTTCTTAAACTTAATAGAAAAGTCTATTTATTCTGTGCGTTACTACTTATCATTCGATTCTTCTGCAGAATTAAGGTTACTTTACATTCAACCTATATACTTAAAATGAATAGACCACAGTGAATTAATGACAAAGATCTTTGCTAACAGGCTAAACCCTTTCCTGGAAGACTTGCTCCACCCCAACCTAGTCTTCAGGAAGCTGATAACACAAGATGATGTATAGACTTTATTTGCTATGCCCACCTCAAGAACATTCCAATGGAGATATCACTTGATGCTGAAAAAATCTCCTCCTATGGCCCTTTCTCTTCGCTGTCTTAGTCATATCCCTTCCCATTTCTATACTTTCTTTGAACTCTATATAACAATCCCCATAGGTATCTGCGATTACGTGGTTTCCCACCTTTCCAAACGATTTTATCAATGAAAGACATTATGGTTTTGAATTTAGAGAGATTAATGAGGATCGGTAGTGCCTAAATACAAAGACATCTGGGAAGGATATTCATTTTAAAATATTCTAAAGCTTACATGTAGCTTAGTGGAAATAAAGTGTTTCTGGACTGAGACCTAATCAATTGAAGTGGTGAAAAAACAAGGTATTTATTGTCAGGAGGCACAAGGGGTAGAAGAGGGTGGGTAAAACATTTGTTATGCACAATTGAAAAGGTTGAAAAGTGTTACATTATGGTGAAACAGACACATGGCAAATGTGACAGAAAGAACTAAAAGGGTTGGTAAAGCATGTATGGACGTAGCTGGGAATGTGATGCAAATAAGAATAATGGAGTCTACCCCAAATACCCCCCAATAACAAAAGACACCGAATTTGAACAGGCCACAGCATTTATTAAACATAAGACTGTGGGGCTCATCCCACATTTATTTAACTTTACCATTTAATTATAACCAGAAATAAATACATAAATAATCCATAACTTTACATATAATCATTAACACCTAGTGCCCTACAGACTTAGCTTACATAAGTGAGAGAGACCACGTGCCTATGAACCAACTTGCCCACAGGGTTCTCCCCTCATCCAAGCCAAATTCCCTTTTCCTTTCAATGCTTACCACCATTTAGCTTTTAGCTCACTGGGCACGTGAGTCGGTAACTTAAAGTTCCTACAGAGCAGGGGAGGTTAAGACCCGACCTTGTCCATATCCTGACACTCCATGTAATAGCCCCCAAAACCTATTGGCAAGGACACGCCACATTCCCGCTGTTTTAAGCCTAAAATCAGCAGGGGGCCACACTCAAGACCTGTTCCACCACTTTCAGCATGCCAAGATTAAAAAGGTTGAGCCCGACTTCCATGAGGTGAACTCCATCACCCAGAAATACATTAGCTGCCACCTGTCTGAAAACACCCCGTGGCAAACCGGAATCCTCTTACCCTCAAACAAACCTAAAGACCCTCCAATTTAGCTTCATACTGCAGCGTTCCATGGCTCTGATTATGGGCCTGCTGGCAAAAGATACAGGAAATGACGCCTGACCAATTGAGCCACACATCATGAAACAGAACTAAAATACGCCCCAAGACCCTCTGAAGGGCATACGCCAAAACCCCACATTGGTATCGTCCCAAGCACATTCCCCCCCAGGTGGATACCCCGAACATTTGGAGGCAGGACAGCTGAAACTGCTCCAGGAGGAGCTGAACCCATTTCATACCTCTGGCACCAAACCAACAAATCTCTGCTTCTACGTAAAACCCAATAGCTCACCTCCCAGACGGATAGCTGCATGCCTCCTGGTCCAGAATACAGAAGAGTGCACGATCACCAAAACCTTGGTGGGAGTCGAACTGGTGGATAGTACCTCAACTCAGGAGACCAGCGGACGAACATATCAGACAAGACGCCCAGAATCCCACCTCCCGATCCTCTGCACCGTGTGGGCTGGCATTCTCATCCTAACAGTCCGGTGACCCCGGACGTCATGCAGTCAGATCTTATGGAGCCCTAGGGCCAGCCACGACCCGCCGTGAGCCGCGAACTGGATCCGAGGCAAGCGGCATAAACCCGCCACAGAATCAATCTCGATGCCCCAAAGTCCCGAAGAGATGTCCTCATGCAAAACCACACAAATGCCTGACAAATGAAGAATCAAACAGTATTTCCTTTGCTCCTCCTTGGGAAACCATGCCCAAGGGGGAGAGTAGCCAGTCGAGTAAAGGGGGGTCGCTAAAGGGACCGGCCTTGCGACCCAGAGACAAGCGTTTTTGACCACATGCATGAAAATCCCGGACTGACCAAAGGTTCCGAATCAGCAACGAAGGGGGGCGACAGAGAAAGGAATCCAAAAACCGTGCCCAATGCCTTACAACAGGATCTTGGCTGCCCAACGGATGAGCTATCGGCACATTGTGCTTACGACAAATGGTGTCGTTGCCCGTAGTACCCCGATCCCCTGTCTTACTAGCGGGAGATGGGATGAGCAGGCCCGCAGGCAGAGCATTCGTTGCACGAGGCACCCCATGAACAATGACTGTCATTAAATGTACAAAAACAGCCTGACCTCTGTCGCACTGCCCCCACCAGCCTCCCCATGAACGAGAAACTACCCTGCTGCGGCACGGGTCATAATGGGGAGCCAGATGCCATGTCCATCTTGTCCCAGAAAATTGAGGGGTGCACCGCCAAACATTGACAAAATTGCTCGTCACATTTCCACCAGAGGTATGGCAAGCATTCCAAATGGTGTCCTGGTAGCAGAACAATGTGGAGCACTTGTGAGGCGCCTTTACCCCAATGCACTAGCCAGATTAAAACGCGCAAATCCAATTACTGAAAGTCCTGTTCTTTCTCCATCTCCGATTCCTTGCCGTCTTTCTCCACCACTGGAGGAGCCTCCTCCATTGGCAGGAGGGAGACAATGTCGACAAATTCTCCCTTCCCAGGTTGTCGAAAACCTCAGAGGCAGGGGCACAGATCACTGCCACCTCCTCTGTTCGCTCATGGTAGGGATTCAGCATGTTCACGTGGAGCATGCGTCACCCTCCTGCTCCAGAGCAAGGGCCGATCACGTAAGTGATGTCGCACTTCTGCTCCACCACTTGGTATGGGCCCTGCCAGGCCACCTGTAGCATGTCATTCTGGACAAGTTTCAAAATTAAAACTTTCTGCTCTACCTGAAAGCTACGGTCCCTGGCGCCCCATTGTACCATATTCGCTGGCGGTTCTGTGCCATCTGGAGGTTCAGGGAGCCCTTGAACCCCCTTACTCTGAAGGTTCATGATCTACCAGTGATGCTGGCGATTAACTGAGGCCGCTTGCACTGGGTCCGCTTCATGCAAGACTTCCCAATTTTCTACTGGTGGTGCAGGAGTTACATATCGGGTGGAGGTCTCCGTCTGGAAATAGTGGGTCACTGCCCTGGTGGCTGGGGGTGGCCCTGGGCAAATCCACTGAGCCCGGGCTCGGTTCTGGGGGGAATCTCTGCATTTGTGCCCCATCTTTTTGCATATGTGGCACTATAACTGGCTGTGTGGTTAAGAGCAGGGTGGTGCGGCATTCCCGACCCTGATTTGCCTGGGTAGTGTCACTGGTCCCTGAGGGACTGCTGCAGGTTGGAGAAAAGCTCTGGGTTGGACCGGTCATTGAGTGTGATGCAGTGCTGCACAGAGGATGTTTTACTCCTGCGTTCCTGTCAGTTATAATAAGACTGATTATACAGTAAATGTTCAGCAATAAAGCAAGGGTGTATGACCCAATCCTGGATGTCTGAAGCCAGCCCAATTTCTCTAGCAGCACTAACTGTAATAATTCCTCTATTGTGCTGACTTTGTGGGCTTGTCCCCCCCCCCCCAAGAGCGGCCCGGTGCAATCGCCAGGCCCATTCGCCATGAGAGTCTTTTTCCATCTTCTTTAGGTCTCTAAATCGGCTGCGGTATGCCTCTGGTGTGATGACATACCTGGCGAGTATCACTGCTTTTACTCGCCCATAGTTCCTTATTTCCTCATCAGGGACGGTGTGGCAAGCTTCCACTGCCCTCCTTGACAGTCTTCTGGACTAATCCTATGTAGGACACATTGTCTCTCAAAATCTTGAAGGAAGGCATCAATCAAGTTTTTAAACCCACCATACAGTATTTTGGGCTAACCCTCTGGTATCGCTGTTATTGCCTGGGTTCGTTCGGGAGTTTGTTGTTCCTTCTGTTTTAGCACGAACTCCTGAACCTCCAACATGGTTTGGACAATAATATCCATGGATGGAGTCTCTACATAGAAGGATAGGTTAAATTGTAGTTCCCTTTGAAAATCTGTCATTTCTCGTTCGGGCTGAACCGAAGTGCCGTCCGTTCGATATTCCGCCATGATTTCGGCAATGATGGTGGCCTTTTTCTTGTTGCTTGCCGATATTCCCTTTGCTTCCAGAAGATCCTTTAGCATGGACCGTTTTAGAATGGTGTAGTCAATCTCCATCCATCTGCAGCTGCAAAGAAATCACTGGCTCTTGTTCCTCTGTGAGCTCTGGATCTGCCAACCAATGTAGCAGAGCCCTAGTCCTATTATGGACTCTCTTCCGCTGATTACACTAAAATACAGTCAGGAACAAGTAAAATAATCCAAGGATCTCCCACCTCCTCCCCAGCAACGTGGGTATAACTGAACTCCTCTCCAGCAACTGGGGGTATAAATGAACTTTATTTTCATTTATGCCCAGTCCCATGCAAGGGGTTTCACATACAGACACATACATACAGGCATACAGAAACATACATACAAAGACATACAGGCAAACAGAAACATACATACAGACACATACATACATACAGAAACATGCATACAAAGACATACAGACATACAGAGACATAAAGGCATACAGTTACATGCATGCATACAGAGACATATATACAGATATTCAGAGACAAACATACATTCAGTTACATACATAAAAACATAGATACAGATACATACATACATGAATACAGAGACATACATACAAAGACATTCACAATTACATACTTACATCTGTTAAGTCTTGTTCCTGGGGTGCATGCTGTCCGGCTCTGTGGACTCCCGTTCTGCAGCCAAGCCCATTCACTGGGCGCCAGCCGCGCTGTGTGGTACACAGGGAGCAGGGATATGATGTATATTAATATCCCCACCCCCTCTACACAGCCTGCGGCAGACACCAGGGTAGGAGGCTGAGCGGGCGGTAGAAGGCTGGGCTCCGCGGGCAGAAAGCTCTGGGCTGCGCTCGGCCACGCTACAAGTATTAATCGGCTGGAGGGGAGTGAAGTACGCTTCCCTCCTTCCGGTCAGCCTGATGTTGCACCCCCAGGGCCGGTGTGCCCTAAGGCGCCGCCTTATGGTAGCACCGGCCCTGAGGCTAACCACAACAAAAGATGATACTTGTCAATTCCATAGCATCGATACAAGTCCAGCCAGGCATGCTCTACATCACTGTAGCGAAGACAGTGGAGATGTGACAATAGATAAATAAATAAATCAGCATTGGTTTCATTAATATATCGTTCTGCAATAAAAGTACACCTATGGCTTATAGTAATCATGCAGGTATCCCTGGGGACACGGTTGCTCATGGATACTATCCTGATGTAGACAGGTAAGTAAAATTAAACGACTCCATTAATCCAGCCAACTTGCATCACTATAGGCTAAAACTGTGGAGAGGTGACATTAGATATTAATATAAATAAATGTAGTACATGATCCTGCAGTGAAGACGCAGTTGTAACTAATAGTCATCATGCAGATATCGTCGGGGGCAAGGTCACTATTAGATACCATCCTGATGTATACACTTAAGTAATCAAAAGGCTTTTATACCCTATGTAATTACCAAATATGTTCTCTGTTACATGGGGTAATAATAAGTGATCCCAAACACTGCCCCACATTTTTTGCTTACCTCCCGTCCTCGCATCCTACAGTCTGTGGTGCTCCTCAGTACTACTCGCGTTGCATAATATGCATAACGGCATGTAGGGGGAGAAACCTGAGGGACCTTTTGGTACCCAGTCATCTCCCCGCCATTGTCACTTCTGGTCACTCCAAACACTATCTACCGGTGGGTACCTATCAATGTGGCCACTGCATTGCCTGTCCTTATCAATAGACATTCTAAGTCCTACTCAAATAGCATCAATACAGAAACTTTTAGATCACGCAAATTTTTTAACTGTCACTCTGTTGGAGTAGTGTATCTACTTACCTGTTCTTGCAGATTGTTGTATGTGGATAAGACATTCCATCCCTTTAAATGTAGGATTTGTGAACATGTTAATTTGGTAAGGAGACACCTGGAAATACCAATTTCCAGACATTTACACCAATACCATGACCACTCTTCAGCTGGCATATGGTTTACGGGCCTTGAACATATACCCAAACGACCACGCAAAGGTGGGTGGGATACCAAACTTCATTAAAGAGAGGCGTTTTGAATCTACATACTAAATACTCTATCACCACAAGGACTTAATGAAGGTTTTTCTTACTCCCCCTTTATATAACCCTGGGGCTGTTTCTTTGACTTATTTGTGGATTCATTTATAGTAAGCTTATGTATAAATGTATATATAATAACAATTTTGTATAACCCCTTTATTAATGCTTTTTTAAACACTTTTTATTTGGATTGGTGTTTAAGTTCACTGTGTTGTCCCCATATGACCTTTCTTATATTACCAGTATTGTCCATCAGAGATATGGATTTTCCCTTTAACAGTCAATAACCCTTTAATTGTCATCTTTTACTCATTTGTTTTAACCTTGCTAATCCTGCCTCTAGTGGTCTTGTTGGGTCCCGTTTGGGATTTACTTGTTTAGCATATAATGCAACCCGAGTAATACTGAGAAGCACCACAGACCGTAGGATGCGAGGACTTCATGACGGGAGATAAGCAAAAAATGTGGGGCAGTGTTATGACTAACAATGTTCAATGATTAACTGCCCTCTAATTCTCTATAATATTTGTGTTTGTGCTAAAAATAGGTTTTCCCATTTAGTTAGGACAGATTTAGTAATGAACCACTCATAATAATAGAAGTTAAACTTCTGTGACTCAGTCACTCTTCCGTATCCATTCTAATAAATCAAAGCACATCAGTAGTAATTTGCAAATGTAATTAAATATAACAATATATTTTAATTACTACAACAGGTAACACAAATCTGGATTTTTTTAATGGAGAAAATAACATCACATAATGTACAATAAAGCACCACAACACATTTACAAAATATTTCTTCCATTTCAGTCACATATAAAAGACATTATACTCCCAACTACAATCTTCAGAAATCCATACCTCAGTAAAATAAAACTATAAAATCTTCTAAATCATACTAAATTTGGACAATTCGTCCAAAAATAGTGCATTAACAGAAGTAATGCCAGCTATCAGTGCCAATGCAATATATTTTAGAAAGGTCAATTGGAATTCTTCATATTCCAAATGAGTGTGTTTTTCAAATTATGGGGCAGTCTCACAAAAGAGTGAGGGGTAGTATTTTTGTTATGGGAACAGTTGAAGGGTTTTTAGACCGAAAGGTTAGTTGGTATCTAGTTTTGCCATTTCCTGCACATATATGCCTATGCTTTCACTGTCAAAAAGCACAAAGTACACAGTCTTGATTGAAGATGACATGGTGGACACAAAATAATTTGAAATTGCTTTCAGAATGAGCTGTGCAGCTGTTTGCTTTGGGAATCCATTTCTGCAATATAAAAACAAGGATTTGATATTAAATATAAGATTTTATTTGTACTAAACAAACAAATAAATACATTGTCAAATACTTTCACTTTAAATTTATCAATCAAAAATAATTATGAGACCGGAACTGAAGTAGTAGAATTTGTTTCTAGTCACTTGCCTTGACAGTGTATGAAACATGATTTTATAGCATAACAAATTGCTTAGGCTGAGAAAAGATAGTGAGATACAGGCAATAGTTAACTTTCACTTGGTCCAGCTGGGCACCCAATTTCTTTTGTAGCACAAGCTAACGTTTTGAATGTATTTCTTGTTTAGAAAAAGTAGAGGTAGATGTATACATGTATAGCTAATGGAAACTTGGTGCAACTTGTGAGGCAAAGTTCTAAATGAGGCAAAGTTCAGCACTGACATTGGCTCATGGTAGCTGAAGTGCCAGGAGCTGCAAAAGACCGTACGAAAGAAGATGGGGGCACTTGTGAGAGACAAAGTCATAGTTTGACTGGAATTAATGCCAACTGATACAGACTCGTTAAATGGGCAGACCAAAGTAAAATTGCTGATGCTGTGTCTAGAAAGCATATTTATGGGCCTTTAACCCTAGTTATTCAGTAGTTTTTTTTTTTTTTTATAAAATAAAGCCTATGTGGGGTATAAGGAAATGGGTTATAATACCTCCCTTATGCCCACACTCATCATGTTGCAGGTGGGTGTAGGTCTACTGGAATATAGTGCGGTATAAGTGACAAAGACCTACACCTAGAAGTGGAGCGCTAAAACAAATATAAAGCTTACCAAGCGTAGCTTGATTCAGTAGTATGATGTAAAGTACATGCCAAAGAATATAAAAACAAAAAGTACAATATAGTGCAGATGGTTTTTTCAAAATGTAATCCGGTGAATAATATAGCAAACAGACAGCTGACTGAGGAAGCTCTACTGAGAGTGAAACACGTTTTGGCCATTTTAAAGAACTTTTTATTATTATTATTATTTTTTAATCTCTACTTGTCATTGTACATTAATAAATTTGGTATTTTTACTCAAGATATCCTGCTCAAGTCCTTCCATGGAGCCTCCAGGAATCCTCATATGGGCAATGTCATCCCTATTTAAATTGGCACTACACGTATACACCTTAGAGCCAGGACCTATAGGCTCAGGACCAGGTGAGCACCACATTTACTATGTTATACTCATCTTCTTTATTGCTACAGTCTGCACATTGGTTTGCTCTCCTTTTATGTTTTGTTTATGAGAACTACTCCGAACCGAAGCGGAAGGGTGGTGTTACCTAAATAAGCACACAGGTCTAAGTACAGAGCCAGTATTTACACACAGGCTCCTTAAAATGTGAGTGTTCTGTTTGCTATATTATTCACCGGATTACATTTTGAAAAAAAACATCTGCACTATATTGTACTTTTTGTTTTTATATTCTTTGGCATGTACTTTACATCACACTACTGAATCAAGCTACGCTTGGTAAGCTTTATATTTGTTTTAGCACTCCACTTATAGGTGTAGGTCTTTGTCACTTATACCGCACTATATTCCATGTTATTGTTTTGTGGAAAAGAGGATATTTCCACACAAGTGTATAGAGCTGCTTTTAACTGTTTTTATTCACGTTAAGCACTTATTGTTACACACATCCCTCCAAGTAAGGGGGGTAACTTTGGATGGGTGTAGGTCTACTACCTACAGCGGTTGCTCACCATAATTAAAAACTATTAACTGAGAAACCTGGTACAGGTGGGGGCTTAAAATTAAATAATTGGAATAGTCAGGACATATAGGGGGGGTGGGGCGGGGGCAATTCAAAGTCACTGAAAGGAGAGTTGGTGCTTAAACTATGAGGACACACATCCCAGTGTCCTACCAAGCTCCCATCCATGAATCCATCTTTGCACCTCCGAGAAGAGAGCGGAAGCATGTTAAAGGACCACTATAGGCACCCAGACCACTTCAGCTTAATGAAGTGGTCTGGGTGCCCGGTCCATCTAGGATTAACCCTTTCTGCTGTGGGTTAATCCAGCCTCTAGTGGCTGTCTCATTGACAGCCGCGAGAGGCGCTTCCGTGCTTCTCACTGTGATTTTCACTGTCAGGTATGACCACTGTCTACTAATTTACAAACGCATATATTCAGGTCAGGTAACTAGCATAGGCCTAGATCTCTACCTAGTAGAGCACTTTGTAGTAAGTTGGAATGGAACATTTCTAGAATAAAAGTGTGGCTGAAAGGTCAACAGGAACATTTGTTATACTATGAAGTCAGCATGAACCCATGTACATAAGGAATGTATCCAGCATCTTGCTGAGCCCATGTAGAACAGTATCTGCTGTAGGCATAAAAGAGCAATACTGGGTAATAGATAATTGTACCTTATAATGTGGGCATTCACTGTTACATGTCTTGCCTCTACAAAATGGTTTCATTGAAAAGTTATGTTTTTACAAAAACATTGTCAAACATTGTCAAAGAAGAAAGCTTTAAACCAGTGTTATCAAACTTCAGTCCCACCAATACTGATGGTATCCAAAATTTTTTGAATGTAACAGACGGACACATAATTATCGGAATTGTAGTTGAGCAATGTCTAGGGAGGTGGAGTCTGACAACTTTGTTTTATACATGTATCATGGTTATAATCTAAAGTATGTAAACATACATGTTTAGTTCATTTTTTTTTTTTTTTAAACTGGGAACTGTTTATAAAAAAAACCCACTAAAATGAACAAAAACTAAATAATTGAGTTGTTTACTAAACAATTTCTTAAAACATATTAAATAAAAAGATAATGAGAAAAAATATATTACTAACATATAAACCATAAACAAGTGGGATTTGTAGCAGACATAACAGAGAAAATGCTGTTGGGATTTTTTTTTGTATTTAAACTTTCAAACATAATTCTTATTTCCCTCCTTGAAGTAAAACATGATTTATTTGATCTTCCAGTACCACACGTAATCCTATTCTTTGGCTATAAAGGGAAATTAAGTTGTTACTGTGGTTTTCAGAAGTAACGTCTGCCTGACACATGTTTTTAGTTCAACAGCAAGCAGTACCACTCTGCTATTTTGATGCATTTGGATGTGGTTCCCCAAGAAACTTTTTTTTTGTAAATATGATTTTTTTATTGAACAGTTGTTATATCATACACAGACTTATGCATGGGGATCAGACAGCGTGTATGAAGACTCGCAGGTCTCTACGATATATACCATATGCCATATGCATCTGTGTGTGCTCGCAGGCTCACCATTTTTTTTTCCCCTTTTAGGTTTATTTTGAGAATTTGTTGTATCATACAAAGATTTATGCATGGGAATCAGATGGTGTGCATGGAGACTCGCAGGTCTCTATCGTATATACCACATACCATATGTACCTGTGTGAGCTCGCAGGCTCCATGGTTTTCTGTGCTGTATTTTGGCTCGCGGGCCTCCTGTCTCGCCTGGTATGTGTTTTCTCGTGTCCATGTCTTACAACCTTCCCTTTTTGCTATCTGTGATGTGCGTTTTTTTCTGTTGTGATGTAGGGTCTGCGTGACTATACTCGCGTGTCTGGTGGCCTCTCTTTTATATTAGGGGTTTGATATTCCCCGGAGTAATTGCTCTATTACGTTCTTGTGTGTCTATCTCCTCACCTCCATCTCCCTGTGTTCTTCTTAGCTGTTAGTTAGTCTGATCAGTTATCATCTATGGGTGTCTGGTAGTTTGTTGTTGTGCGTGGGCGATGTCGTGACGTGAGGTAACGTCCCCACTCTATTAGTCGTCCGCCTCATAGTCATTAGCTGTTATTGCGTTTCCTGTGTGAGTTATCTTGTCCGGTTTTGCCTGTTGTGTTTGTGTCCCTGCGTGTAAGTTAGTACATGTTTGTGGGTGTTTGCAACTATATTTACTATATTTTGCCTCCGTCATTCTCTCTGTGTGTGATGTCTACTTTTGTTGTTTCTTTATATGTCCCCTTGCGTGTGTATCTGTTTTTCCCAGTTTTAGGGGGTTGGTATCCGTTTGTTTTTTACTCCTGTTCCGCTTTCAGTTCCATCAGGTGAGCTCCCTGCGGTTTCAACCTTCATTGTGGTCGTGTTCAATGAAGCTCTTTCTTCGTGTTTGCCCTGGGTTATATAGGGAAGTTGGAGCGGGTTGGGGCAAGGTGGTGGTGGGGGGGGACTGAGTCTGCTGTCTCCCTCGGTGCGCCAAGGGCACACTCCCCCGACATTCGCCCCGCCCCCCGTCCCAGTGCATCTCGTCTTCCACCTCCACCTAAGTGCTGTGTAGTATCCAGGGTGTCCACCTTTCCACATGTTTGTTGCTTCTCCCTTGGGAATCTGCTATTTTCTCCTCTGCTATCCTGATGTCTTCTACCCTGCGTGTCCATTCTAATGTCGTTGGTGGGTTTTCCTTTTTCCAGTGCAGTGGGACCAGGGACTTGGCAGCGTTTAGTAAGTGCCTCAGTATTGACCTCCTGTAGGAGGGTATTGGTCGTTCTGTATGATGTAGAAGAGCGGCCGCTATCGTCAAATGTGTCTAGTATCTGCTTGATTTCCCGCTGAATGCTCTCCCAAAAAGGTTTTATTTTATTGCAGTCCCACCAGATGTGCCTTAAGGTGCCGAGTTCCTCCCCGCATCTCCACCAGGTGTTCGGAATTGTCGGGTTGATCAAGGACGGTGTACGATACCAGTGTGTCAATAGCTTATAATTTACTTCCTGGTAGTGGGAGCTGGAGGCGCTTTTGTGTTGTAGGGTTAGTATCTTCCCCCATTGGTCGTCCGTGAAGGTCTCCTCTGTCCAGTCCTCCCATTGTCTTTTGTATAAGTTGTTGTTAGTACGGTTTGATGTCAGTAGGTTTTGATATAATGCGGAAACCCTACCCTCCACCTCTGGTGTCTGTGTGCATAGGTTTTCGTACCATGTTAGTTCTCTGTGTATCTTGCCTCTGTGTGGTAGGTTGTGATAGTAGTGCTTAAGCTGGATGTAGTGGAATTGGTGCATTAGCGTGGGCGTTTCTTCGCTCGAAATTACCCTTAATGGTTGGACTCCCATATTGTTCAGGACTGTGTGTATGGGTATGTATCCATCTCGGTTGTCTATTGACCAGGCATTCAGTGGAAGGTTGTCTCCCAGGTTTGGGTTGTACGTGATGGGTATCAGGGGACTGGACTTGGGCGAGATCTGCTGCTCCGTTCTTATTGTGGACCAGTGCGTCAGGGTGTGCATGAGGGGAGAGTCTTCCCCTAGCAGCGTCAGGGCGTCCCTTTCATTGTACCACACCAGTGTATGCAGTTTCCCCAAGAAACTTTTAATCACTTTCTATGTTTTCAACTCTAAGACTTTTGCATTTAAAGAGAACCTGTCATATTCCAAGTTTTTTTTTATTTTTATATATTACGTTTATTTATTCATTTATTTAGCAAATATGTATTTGTAAGGTGTGAAATTTACAATTAAATATGTAAATCCACACCTACTTAACCTACAACTGTAATCCTCTATCTAGGCTCCCAGTCAATCATTGTTATTTAATGCTTTCCTATGGGGATCTTTTTTTGACGCTGGAGGTCCATGAGGATAAGTTCATAAGCAATACACAATACATTTACTATTTTATCAGAAGACTCTTAAATCATATGAGAACAGCAACCTGACCCAACTCCCCTATGTAAATTAGGCAGTCACTTCCCGTCATATGACAAGTAGCAACCAGTGATAACATCTCCCAAAATGAAGGCAGACATTCAGAATATCCATGTGTAACAGAGAAAAGCAACTTATCACATTTACCAACTGCCAAAATCATGATTTACCACAAAGCAGTGGTCTACATTTTAATTAATCACTTACTATTTCAATTAGATTGTAGAGTGTAGTAAGTAACACCATGTAGTGTATTCAAAGTGAACCTGACATTCAAACAAATATATGGATGACACGATCATCTTTGAGTTGGCATTTATTTAATTAATACATTGGGCTGAGAAATGTATTGACTTACTTTTTCAGGGCTATGCAAACACATATATGTTATCCTGGTTTTACCACATCATCATTCCTACAAGATAATACTATAGGGCATATATAATTTGCAAAAAAGGACACAGTTGTGTATTGTATAATTTAATAAAATAGAAACTGCTGTTAGCAGGCCTCCCAATAGTCCTGATTTCAGGGTCTTGTCCCAATTTTGTTTTGGGGAACTATCCCCAAAAGAGTAACGCAAGTGCATCATTAGGCATGCTCAAGCCGCACTCAGGGCACTAGAACCATGCTAGAGGGCACTGAAACATTGCTCGCCCATGCTGGACTGGTCTGCTTGATTGGCAGGCAGCCTGGCATGCATTCATGCAATGCTGACCTGTCAACTCTTCGGACAGACTTGCCCATTTTCTTGGCAGAACCGCTTTCTTTAGGCAGGGCCAGTGTTGCGATTTGCAGCACTTGTCAGCTCCCTTTTATCCTGACTACATTAGACACTATATTACACTGAACATTGGTTTAATCAGGAACCATAAAAATCTAAATATTCAGGGAATATTAAAAAAAAAAAATTAAAAAAAATTACATGACAAAATAATACAAAAAAAATAAATTAAGCAGCATTATATATTTACACTGAATGTATATTTTGGCTTCTTGGCCCGTTACCAAAACCTGATGTGTACATATCTATATTGCTAAATAAGTCAGTGTATAGGTATGTGTATGTATGACAATATATATATATATATATATATATATATATATATACATATATATATATAAATATATATATATATATAATGTTTATTTTTTGTATATATGCAGACACCATGCTAGTTTTGTAAAACATTATTTGTGCACTCTTACCTCCCACTGCCAATTGAAGGAAAAGCAATTGACTTAATTTTCTTCTCATCTGCCAAAGCTAGGCAATTCTTCACAGTCTTTTCCAGCAATTCTTCACACTTGTCAGATCCCCAAGTGGGGCTATTACAGTGGATAACAAACTTTGCGGGCAATCCATGACCATTACTCACAGAAGCTAATAAGAAGCAGAATATATGTTATAAAGCCATGATATTAATAGTCTGTCAAGGTAGCAGTATAATTGTAACGGAAAAAATAAATAAATACATACTGTGTCATGCTATAGTAATGATGTGGCAGCTGGTACAGTACGTATATGGTTTAACTGAAAGATACATTTATTGTTGTTTAACAGTTTGAGCAAGACCTCATATACACCTTCTTTTGGCAATGTTGCAAATTAGCCAACTGCTTCATAATAATAATTCCTGTAAATAATTTCTTCTGACATTACATTTAAAGGGACACTTTAAGTGACCCAGAGCATCTGCCCTGCAAAGACTTTTCATTGAGCTGCATTGAGAAGTGAGAAGTCTGTAATTGGACAGCCACAGAAAAACAGTGCTGAGTTAAAAGGGTTAGGTTTGCAAAAGCTTCAGACAAGAGATCTGCAGCTTTTGCAAGAAACTTTTAGGTATAATCCCAAAGAAAAAAAGAATAATTAAATGCATGCATGTTTTGATTGTATATCTACTAAACAGTGTTTCTATTTTTGGGGTTTGAGTAGTAAAGTGTCCCTTTAAAGTGTAATGCTCAAGTATGAGCAACATGTTTAAGTCACATGCAGACAGGAATTTCAAACTTTAGCCCCTGGATCTTGAATTGCAACTCTCATGATTACCTGGTCATCTGCTGCATTCAAAAAATTCTGTGAGATGCTTGGATCAACATCTGAGGGGCAAAGTTGGAGAAACTGAAGTTTAATGAAGTGGTTTACGTTTTTATGGTATCAGCCGTTATAAAGTGCCCTAACCTACATATATTATCTCCACCGGAGACATCACATTTAGAAGGTTCACTTTCTCATTCCAAAATATTTGTATGGTGCTAGCAATACGATGCAAGCCCTGTGGCGTATGAAGATTCATTCTCCCCTAACTACTATTAATCCTTTTGGTCCAAATAACAAAAGTATAAACCGGGAAAAACTGACTTGAATTGAATTTCACAATAAATGCAGTTAATGATAATGCAGTTAATGATAATATATATAATGATTTACTGCATTACAGATGCTGCTGTATGTAGGGATCGACCGATTATCGGTCTGGCCGATATTATCGGCCAATATTTGGTATTTTCGGCAATATCGGTATCGGCCAATTCAGATACCGATATTGCCGATAATATATAACAGGAACGCCGGGCCCATTACAAGCCCGGCGGTCCTGTGGGGGCCAGCAGCAAGCGCTGACTTACCTTGCATGCAGCTCCTACAGCTCTCTGTGTAAATCTCGCGAGACCCGCGGCCGCAGAGCGTTGCCACGGGTTACCATGGCAACGCTCCGCGCGGCACTAAGAGCCGCGAGATTTACACAGGGAGCTGTAGGAGCTGCTTGCAAGGTAAGTCAGCGCTTGCTGCTGCTGAGCCACCACTGTACTTAACAAGCCACTGGACCACCAGGGGATACTATATCCCCCTCCCTGGTAAGAAGCAGGGAGGGGGGACTAAACAAAAAATAAAAAAAACATTTCAATATTAAAAAAAATATTAAAATAAAAAATTACACAAATTACATCACTACACACACACACACACACTGCACACATACTGCATTACATACACACTACACAAACACACACTGGGGGGGGACTAAACAAAAAAAAAAATTAAATATTAAAAAAAATATTAAAATAAAAAATTACACAAATTACATCACTACACAAACACACACACACTACACAAACACATACTGCATTACATACACACACACTGCATTACATACACTGCATTACATACGCACACTACACAGACAGACACTACACACACACCACAAACACACACTACACACATACTGCATTACAGACACACACTGCACACACTACGCTGCACACACACTGCATTACATACACACACTGCATTACATACACACTACACAAACACAGTACACATACTGCATTACATACACACACACTACACAGGCACACACACTGCATTACATACACACTACACAAACACACACTACACAAACACACACTGCACACATACTGCATTACAGACACACACTGCACACACTACACTGCACACACACTGCATTACATACACACACTGCATTACATACACACTACACAAACAGTACACATACTGCATTACATACACACACACTACACAGGCACACACACTGCATTACATACACACTACACAAACACACACTACACAAACACACACTGCACACATACTGCATTACAGACACACTGCACACACTACACTGCACACACACTGCATTACATACACACACTGCATTACATACACACTACACAAACACAGTACACATACTGCATTACATACACACACACTACACAGGCACACACACTGCATTACATACACACTACACAAACACACACTACACAAACACACACTGCACACATACTGCATTACAGACACACTGCACACACTACACTGCACACACACTGCATTACATACACACACTGCATTACATACACACTACACAAACACAGTACACATACTGCATTACATACACACTACACAGACACACACTGCATTACAGACACACACTACACAAACACACACTGCATTACATACATACACACTACACACACACACTGCATTACATACACACACAAAAACACACTGCATTATACACACACACTACATAAACACACTGCATTATATACACACACTACATAAACACACTGCATTATATACACACACATCTGCATACACACTACACACACACACACACTACACAAACACACACAGTTCCCCTGTCTAAACACACTTCATCCACTACATGTGGCATGTATATTTTGTGCATTTACCTTTCGAATTAGTTTATTTATTCAAAATAGTAAATGTACAGAATATCGGCAAGATATCGGCTATCGGCCTGAAAGTTCGCAGATTATCGGTATCGGCTCTAAAAAATCAATATCGGTCGATCCCTAGCTGTATGTCATCATTTTTCTTTTGCAGTAAAGAAACGATCAGAAATTAGTGTATACATGTCTTCAATTATAACTACAGAGAATGAAAGTGAAATAATAATGCATTCATAATGTAAACATTTATTGATGTTTCACTCTAATCAGAAACGCACAGCTCAATTGTAATTTAGTAGCAATAAATATCTATGGCAGATAAGTAAAATATTAAATCTCTGTTTAACTACTTAGCAGTGATAAAGGTTGATTGTGTTGTATGCATGTTGAATGTATTTAAGCATTACCTCACTGTGCTCCATGAATTTATAATTTTATACTTGACTAATATCTAAACTGCTATATTCAGAACTAAAACTACCTTTTCATCATACACAGTGCCTTTCCTTGACTTTTTACCTATTTTGTTACATTACAGCCTTATTGTCATTACAGTTCAATGTTTTATTAATCTGAATTGTATGTAATGGATCAGAACACAATAGTGAAATGAGAAAAATATATACATAAAACAAATTTTTAGAAATAGAAAACAGAAAATTGGCATGTGCGTATGTATGCACAACAGCAAACCTATCAAGAGACGCCCGCCCACCAAAACTCACGGACCGCGTAAGGAGGGCATTAATCAGAGAGGCAACACATAGACCTAAGGTAACCCTGGAGGAGCTGTAGAGTTCCACAGCAGAGACTGGAGTATCTGTACATAGGACGACAATAAGTCGTCCCCTCCATAGAGTTGGGCTTTTTGACAGAGTGGCCAGAAGAAAGCCATTACTTTCAGCAAAAAACAAAATGGCACGTTATGAGTTTGCGAAAAGGCATGTGGGAGACTCCCAAAATGTATGGAAGAAGGTGCTCTGGTCTGATGAGACTAAAATTTTACTTTTTGGCCATCAAAGAAAACACTATGTCTGGTGCAAACCCAACACATCACATCGCCCAAAGGACACCTTTCCCACAGTGAAACATTGTGGTGGCAGCATCATGCTGTGGGGATATTTGTCAGCAGCCGGGACTGGGAAACTGGTCAGAGTTGAGGGAAAGATGGATGGTGCTAAATACAGGGATATTCTTGAGCAAAACCTGAACCACTCTGTGCGTGATTTGAGGCTAGGACAGAGGTACACCTTCCAGCAGGACAATGACCCCAAACACACTGCTAAAGCAACACTTGAGTGGTTTAAGGGGAAACATGTAAATGTGTTGGAATGGCCTAGTCAAAGCCCAGACCTCAATCCTATAGAAAATCTGTGGTGAGACTTAAATATTGCTGTTCACAAGCGCAAACCATCCAACTTGAAGGAGCTGGAGCAGTTTTGCAAGGAGGAATGGGCAAAAATCCCAGTGGTAAGATGTGGCAAGCTCATAGAGACTTATCCAAAGCGACTTGGAGCTGTGATTGCCACAAAAGGTGGCTCTACAAAGTATTGCCTTTAAGGGGGGGTGAATAGTTATTTTCTGTTATTTTGTCCTATTTGTTGTTTGCTTCACAATAAAATAAAAAAATAAAAACATCTCCAAAGTTGTGGCCATGTTCTGTAAATTAAATGATGCAAATCCACAAACAATCCATGTTAATTCCAGGTCTTGAGGCAACAAAACACGAAAAATGCCAATGGGGGTGTGAATACTTTTGCAAGGCACTGTAGATACTTTTCTGTATGATTGCGAACCATTTTATGTAGTGCAAATATGACAAATTAAGTGTAAACATGCCAGAACATCATTGTGCATTAATAGTGTAATATCTGCTAGAAAATATTACATTTGGAAGCACAGAAGTGACCAAAACCTGCATTTATTTCCTCAATACACTCTTTCCATCTGTGCCATTACCCTTTTTTTTTATTTCAGAGTCTTTTAATAGACATAAAAGGGCCATCGTGAGGGGCCAAAATGAAAGTGCTTGCAGGAAAACCAGGGTCACCAATAAATTTCACAGGGTATTGAGAGTACCAAGAATAATTATGTATTCGGGCGTTGCTCCCCAGCATATTGAAGAGGTTGGGAACTAGACATTTCCAATTTGCTCTAATTTATGTCCCACTGTTTAATTTGGCACATGGAGAATGTGTCATAAATTTTCAAGAAATCTAATAAAACAACCTGACACTTGGGTAATCAGATGGGGAATTATATGCAAAATGTGGCCAATATGGCAGCTTAAGTGCTTCACCTTAACACTGGGACTCTTTACTCTCTGTTCTAATCTTACTGTGGTGTGTGCCTGTGAAGTTATGCTGTCCCTGAAAGAGGCGCACTGCTTTGTTGAACTTTGCAGGTTAAGTTGAAGAGGTCTGTGATTTACACTCATGCCATTATCACATTTATAAGAAATAGGGCTTTGAGAGTGTGCAGAGTCTCAGTGAGATTATGAAACACCTGCACATAATATAGGAAAAGGCAGAAAATAGGATTTATGAACACCAGAAAAGCTTTACTTTAAGCATATTGGAAAATAAACAAAGTTGGCATGTCCGCTTCAGCTATTAATGTAATCAGCAGGTAAAAAAACTAAAATAAAAAGCATATATATATTTCTTAATAGAGAATGGCATTAGGATGAATCAAATTTATTCTGTGCTCAGCTAGATCAGTGTGGTGGCAGACTTGTTCTTATCCATATGTGTACATCTCACATACAACAGTGCATTACAAACGCCATAAGGTAAAATAGTATATAAGGATGGATATGTAAGACTACTTGTATTTTCAATTAATTTTTTTTTTTTTAAATGGTAGTGGGAGGGTAGATGTCTGAAGCAAAGACACATGAAGTCATTTGTTGGCATCAGACAGATATAGCAGAGATTTTAATGTCAGCAGAAGAGCTGACTGGTGAGCCATCGGATCCACCACTTCCACCATTGAGCTGTAGTGGTCTAAACCTGGTCACTATCCATTCTTCCTGTAGAAGCAGCAAATCATGGTAAAATCGTTTCTTCTGGGGTAGAAGACGGGCATGTTAGTTCTGAGTGCTAAGTGCAAGCATAAGTTAGGAAATAAAAGACCATACTGCATAGTGGCTTTGTTATACTTGATGCTAAACAAATAAATGTTTATTAAGCTAGTAGTAGCTTTATACAGTGATTACTAATTGAAGTGTGTCATATTGTTTTACAAGATTAAACACACACTTCCACTACAACTTTTAGAGATTTGGGCCTAAACTAGTAGCTCTAACTTTTGAATTCCTAAATTTGCTTTGTTTTTGGAAAAACTTAACAAAAAACTGGATAGAAGTGATAGGCAAAGAGTGCTGTTAGAGGACCTCAGTTATCACTCTGCTGTTTTTGATACATTTACTGTATATACTTTATAATGACTTCAGACTACACTCATGCAAAAGCCCCAGGTCTAATATTAGTACCGATTCCTTATTAGCCTTGAGTCCCCAGAAAATGTTCAGATGGAGGTGTTTATCCTCTCTCAGCATTACAATAAATATCACCTTCAATTGCAGATTTTGCAATTATGTAATAATGTAACATAAAAGTAAAGAATTTTGAACACTAAACAAATAAAAATGGACTCTCCTTGGGCTGAAGCCCCAGTTATGTTTGCCTGTGACAACGGACACATGAAGTGGATGAGTTTTGTAAACAGAAGACTATGCGGTTTGAGTTCATATCCTGGCAATAGCAAGTCAATTCCAAAAAAAAAAAAAAAAAAAGCCAGAGAGGAATGCAGAGTGAAGATTTAGGACAGAAAACATTATTGTAGTTAAAATGGTCTCCAACTGCTTTTGCAATAAAATGGCAGGGATTAATGAATATGGGACAGGGTTGTGCCCTGACAACAAGACAAGTCTGGGTTTATTAGGCACTTACATTTACAATTTTATAATGATGTGCTGTTTACTAACTTCAGCAACAGTGGTCCAAGAATGGGGACTTTCTGTGTATTCAAGTAAAGGTTCAACCATAAGTGTAGTGGTGTTGTGGAGACATTCTCAGGTACAGAGTGTAGTGGTATTATGGAGACAGGCTTGAAGACTATGGTGAGGCCTAATAGAAAGCAGTTGTTGTTTGGGGATTCTATCATAAGAGGTGTGGAGCCGGACAATAGTGGTCTTGTGAGATGTCTTCCCGGAGCTACTGCTCACAGAGAAAGGAGACGTATTTGTAATATTGTTAAGCGAGCAAAGCAGGGGAAGTGGATGTACTTGTCCATCTAGGGACAAATGACTTGGGTTGTAATGAGGTTTCAGAGGTAAATTAAGTTTTTAGTGTTTTTGACAATGATATACGGCAGGTTGCTCCCACACTGTCATTCTCTGAAGTTCTGCCTGTGGATAACACTCAGAACGACAGGTGGATGCTGTGACAAAAGAACCTTCGTCATTGGGATTTGGAGAGGCCTGCATGCCAGCCTCTTGCCCCAAGACAATGGGCCCTGCAAAAAGACAGGCTAAAAAGTGACTTCCATGGGAAAATGTGCCTCTTCCCCTCTCCCTTTTCCTGTCCTATTGTTTCTCCAGCAGGGTGTTGTCCCAGGGACACTGCCAGACCAGTTTAATCTGGCTGCTTTGTCCCTCCTCAATCTCTCAGATATTTGAAAAAAAAGTGAAAGTTTAGGATCCAGTGATCATCAGTCAGTGTGGTTTAATTTAAGAACAGTGACTGAGTCACACCACACAAAAACAAAAGTTTTATACTTGAGAAAAACAGACTTTTCTTAAAATAGAATATGTGTAAAGGAGTCATTATCAGACTGGAGCAATTTAAATGGAGTCCAAGAGAAATTGGATTATTTAAAAGTTGCTGAAGGCAACTGAAAAATGCATTAGGCTTGTCAGTAAAAGCAAAAAATTCAAGAAACCACTGTGGTACTCCGTAGATGTAGTAGTAGTAAAAAACTAAAAGTTAGCATGTAGGAATTATAAAAAAAAAACAGAGTGAGGAAGACAGAATGATCTATAATATTAGGCAGAAAGAAGCTAAGCAAGTTATAAGGGCTTCCAAATCACACACAGAAGAGAAAATAGCACAGTCAATAAAAAAAAAGGGGACAAAACATTTTTTTAGATATATACATAAGAAAAGGAAAGTAAAACAAGGATTAGTTACATTAAAAACAAAAGAAGGAAGGTATGTAGAAGAGGATAAAGGTCAAGCTGACTGCCTAAATTAATATTTTTGTTCAGTATTTACAGCTGAAAATGAAGGAAAGGGACCTCAGTTAGGAAAAATGACAAATTAGTCATTTGTTACATGTGAATTTACAGAAGAGGAGGTTCTATTTCAACTGTCAAAAAAAAGGCAAATAAGTCAATGAGAAAAAAAGCTTAGCAAAACCATTAACAGATTTATTTAACCAATCATTGTTAACAGGAGTAGTCCTAGAAGATTGGAAGTCAGCTAATGTTGTGCCCATTCACAAGAAAGGTAGTAGGGAGGAGTCGGGTAAGGCCAGTAAGCCTTACTTCAGTAGTGGGGAAAGTAATGGAAACCATGTTAAAGGATAGGATTGTTGAACATCTAAAATCACATGGATTGCAAGATCAGAGACAACATGGGTTTACTTCAGGGAGATCATGCCAAACTAATCTTATTGATTTTTTTGATTGGATAACTAAAATAATAGATCAGGGTGGAGCAGTAGACATTGCTTACCTAGATTTCAGTAAGGCTTGACACTGTTGCACATAAAAGGCTTATCAATAAACTGCAATCTTTAAGTCTGGATTCCAATATTGTTGAATGGGTAAGGCAGTGGCTGAGTGACAGGCAACAGGTACAGGGTAGTGGATGCATGGAATAGCCTTCCAGCTGAAGTGGTAGAGGTTAACACAGTAAAGGAGCTTAAGCATGCATGGGGTAGGCATAAGCTATTCTAACTATAAGATAATTTTAGAAAATTGGGCAGACTAGATGGGCCGAATGGTTCTTATCTCTTCCCCTATTCACCCTGCCACACTCACCCCACCAATTCTGTCATACTCATCCCCACAAGCCATGCCACACTCACCCGTGAATATGACATATGGTGGGGATGGGTGGCCTAGGGCAATTTTCGCACCAGAGCCCTGTGGTTTCTAGTTACGCCTCTGCAAGAGGCAGGTGAGGTTTTCAAACACTGTACTACATGCTGGGTGATGTTACACTGTGCATTAAAAACCATAATTCACATTGTGATTGACATATATAACCTAGCCTGCGGGAAGATAGTGGAAATTACACATGCCATGCTTTGTGCACAGGAAAATTACAATATCGTGTTGTTTTAGTGAGTTTTGGGGCCCTTTACTGCGATGTGTCAGTCGCAATGTGCACTTTGAGCTAAAACTAAATGTTTAGTGATTTCATTCTTCTGAAGACAAAACAAGTACTGATGAATGACCAAAGTCTCACCTCCTGCTATATCTAAAGGCCCATTCTTTTTCTTCATTTCACTAACGGCATCCACATACTCTTTTCCACCTTTTTTCTCTAAGGCATTGCCTAAAAACACAAAAGAACAAAGTAAGAGAATAAGAAGATGTTTATCATTATATCGCACTTTAAAAGGTGTTATTTCATTCATTCACCCTTTCTTCTTTAGCTGTGTGGTAAACTACAATATAAAATCAAAACTAGAAAAACTGTATCCATTTTGTTTTTGTTAAAATCGCCAAATCAGCAAAAAATGTTGCTCTTATGCAGAACATATTTCATTTGGCAAAACATTAAGAAACACGTTCGAATTGAGGACACTGATGCAAATACTTTACATGGACAAATCTATGGAAGGTCAAAAAATAATAATGGCATGGATACAGGAAATCTAGATATTTGTATTGTATTTTGTAGCTCAAATAGATTAGATATTCTATATCATCTTTCTTGTTAATAATCAGCTTGCAGTACACCATGAATTTTACAACATTCTAGGATTTCTCTAGTTAATCAACAGTGAAAAATCTGAATTGACATGGATCAAATAAGAAGCTTTACAGATTAACATTAGCATGCAATGAATAAAAAAAAATAAAAAATAAGAAAAAGGCTAAACCAATTTAGGAAATGAATAATGCTTTAAAGCTTGGGCATTGCGCCAACATTGAATAAGAAACCTGGAGAACCAAGTAAGAGTAAGTTGGCTTTTTCTAAAACTCAATCTCTATAATTAAATATATTAAATTGTAATATCGTTCTTTTGACTTGCACCGGCTAGTATTTTGAGAAATCCCAAAATGAAGTAAATGGAAACTTATTAGGCAATTTAAAACATAGATATACTTATTAAACAGGCATGTTTTACAGATATTTTTGGAATACAAAATCACAAAATATATAACTAGAGGAATTGTAAGAAATTCAGGCACTTTATGTAAATGTGCAAATCATGCATGATAAAATTACTACACATTTTGAAAACAAAAGTAATTATACTGGACCACCACCTGTCTAGACTTACATACTTTTTTCTTTACATAAACACAAGGAAGATATTTATTTCATGCCACAGAACATGTCTAAGGTTTACCTGAATTAATGTAAAATAAGGTATTTTATGACAGTTCTAAATGTCTCCTGTTAGAGTAATTGAGGTATAATGTAGAATTGGATTGTTCCTCATGGCCAAATTATATTTCTTAAATAACATCTCAAAACAGCCATTAAAATCAATTAGTTGCACATTTATTTCACTCTGTAAAAATCATAAGCTTGAATCCTTGACTGAATTACCAAATGTATTAAAAAACACTTTGGTAATGGAACAAAATGTCACACAGTTCTCACAGAGTTCTGTTCATTAAATACTCAAGCATTAGCTGCCAATTTTGACGATTTCACTTTCTGTAGGTTTACTTAGATGACATCAGTTTAAGTGAAAATTTAATCTGCCATCGTCACTAGATCTGCCAGATATGTGTCAGTATAGGCAGGTTGTGCCCCACATTGTTAGCAAATATGTAATGTTTCCAGATTGTAATGATAAAACAAGCAGCTGCAGAAATAAAATTCACATAGCTCACCAACATAACCAAGAGGTGGAGGCCACATTATACAATTTGGGAGCAAAATTCTCATTCTCCTTTTTTGTGCCATCATTCTTTTCTCTGTTGCATTATGTGGTGAGGAACAAAATAATGCCAGCACTAGGTGCCTTGAGTTACAGTACATTAACGGATTAGAGGAAGAGTGACCTTTACCATTAGAGAGAGATACATTCACTATGACTATTCAGTAAAAGAAACACTCCAAGCATCATAACCAATACAAGCCAGCATTGTAAACACGACTGCTATAATTAAGGAAAAATAATCCCTACTTATGAATTTTATGAAAATCAGAGTGCTCAGTAAAAAATAAAAAAATAAAAAGAGATTAAGACATAGGGAGCTACATAGAAGAACCCAAATTAATAATAATATTCTGAGTGCTACACTTTTTTTGGTTTGTCATATAGAAGAAGATTAATTTAAGTTTATTTTTGGTGACATATACACTTGAAGCAAACTCCACTGGGCTGAGTCCTGATGGTGCTCTCAGGCAATGAGCTAAGCTCTGCACTGCTGGTCCAGCTTACTGACATTGGTTACAGGCAACAGAGGATCTGTACTCAAGTAAGTATAGTGGTTTGATTTTTTTGCAAAATATAATCTGTCAATAAAATATATGTTATCACAATTAGCAGGCAAAAACTGACACAGAACAAGGGCAATTGAACCAAAAAAACAACCATGCACTACACCTCTTGATTTAATTCTTGATGTGCACCTACCAATATAGCCAACACATCATCAGTTTAATAAAGCTAGCCACAATAATGTAATGGCAACATAACAGGTATCTACTTTAGACTATCAATCTCTTAAAGAGACACACCAAGTACTAACTTAGCTATTATGAATTTTAGAACCTTGGCCTATACTGAAAATTTTTGTTCAGTATTTACAGATGAAAATGAAGGAAAGGGACCTCAGTTAGGAAAAATGACAAATGAGTCATTTGTTACATGTGAATTTACAGTAAAGACAAATAAGTCAATGGGACCTGATGGAATACACCCAAAGCTGTTAAAAGAGCTTAGTGGTGTACTAGCAAAACCATTAACAGATTTTTTTAAACCAATCATTCTTAACAGGAGTAGTCCTAGAAGATTGAAAGTTAGCGAATGTTGTGCCATTCACAAGAAAGGTAATAGGGAGGAATCGGGCAACTATAGGCCAGTAAGCCTTACTTCAGTAGTGGGGAAAGTGATGGAAACCATGTTAAAGGATAGGATTGTGGAACATCTAAAAACACATGGATTTCAAGATCAGAGAAAACATGGGTTTACTTCAGGGAGATCATGCCAAACTAATCTTATTGATTTTTTTGATTGGGTAACTAAAATTATAGATCAGGGTGGTGCAGTTGACATTGCTTACCTAGATTTCGGTAAGGCTTTTGACACTGTTGCACATAGAAGGCTTATCAATAAACTGCAATCTTTAAGTTTGGATTCCAATATTGTTCAATGGGTAAGGTAGTGGCTGAGTGACAGGCAACAGAGGGTTGTAGTCAATGGAGTATATTCGAAGCTTGGGCTTGTCACCAGTGGGGTACCTCAGGGATCTGTACTTGGACCCATTCTCTTTAATATTTTTATTAGTGATATTGCAGAAGGTCTTGATGGTAAGGTATGTCTTTTTGCTGATGATACTAAGATATGTAACAGGGTTGATGTTCCAGGAGGGATAAGCCAAATGGCAAATGATTTAGGTAAACTAGAAAAATGGTCAGAATTGTGGCAACTGACATTTAATGTGGATAAGTGCAAGATAATGCATCTTGGACATAAAAACCCAAGGGCAGAGTACAGAATATTTGATAGAATCCTAACCTCAACATCTGAGGAAAGGGATTTAGGGGTGATTACTTCTGATGACTTAAAGGTAGGCAGACAATGTAATAGAGCAAAAAGAAATGCTAGCAGAATGCTTGGTTGTATAGGAAGAGGTATTAGCAGTAGAAAGAGGAAAGTGCTCATGCCATTGTACAGAACACTGGTGAGACCTCACTTGGAGTATTGTACGCAGTACTGGAGACCGTATCTTCAGAAGGATATTGATACCTTAAAGAGAGTTCAGAGAAGGCCTACTAAACTGGTTCATGGATTGCAGGATAAAACTTACCAGGAAATGTTAAAGGATCTTAACATGTATAGATTGGAGGAAAGACGAGACAGGGGGGATATGATAGAAACATTTAAATACATAAAGGGAATCAACACAGTAAAGGAGGAGACTATATTTAAAAGAAGAAAAACTACCACAACAAGAGGACATAGTCTTAAATTAAAGGGACAAAGGTTTAAAAATAATATCAGGAAGTATTACTTTACTGAGAGGGTAGTGGATGCATGGAATAGCCTTCCAGCTGAAGTGGTAGAGGTTAACACAGTAAAGGAGTTTAAGCATGCGTGGGATAGGCATAAGGCTATCCTAACTATAAGATAAGGCCAGGGACTAATGAAAGTATTTAGAAAATTGGGCAGACTAGATGGGCCAAATGGTTCTTATCTGCCGTCACATTCTATGTTTCTATGTTTCTACAACTATCTTAATTTTTTTGCACTTGGTAACACACTACGCTGTGAAGGACTAAAATCCTGCAGTGCCCGCAAGGTCCCCCTGCTCAAGAAAGTATATGTACAGCCCCGTCTGAAGTTTTCCAATGAACATCTGAATGATTCAGAGGAGAACTGGGTGAAAGAGTTGTGGTCCCATGAGACCAAAATAGAGCTCTTTGGCATTAACTCAACTCGCCGTTGTTGGAGGAGGAGGAATGCTGCCTATGATCCCAAGAACACCATCCCCACCATCAAACATTATGCTTTGGGGGTGTTTTTCTGCTAAGAGGACAGGACAACTGCACAGCATCAAAGGGACGATGTAGAGTCAAATCTTGGGTGAGAAACTCCTTCCCTCACCCATTGTAAATGGGTCATGGATGGGTATTCCAGCATGACAATGACCCAAGACACACATCCAAGGCAACAAAGGAGTGGCTCAAGAAGAAGCACATTAAGGTCCTGGAGTGGCCTAGCCAGTCTCCAGACCTTAATCTGTGAAGGGAGCCAAACGTCAACCTTGAAACCTTAATGACTTGAAAAGGATCTGCAAAGAGGAGTGGGACAAAATCCCTCCTGAGATGTGTGCAAACCTGGTGGCCAACTACAAGAAACGTCTGACCTTTGTAATTGCCAACAAGATTTTGCAACCAAGTACTAAGTGAGGGGTCAAATAGTTATTTCACTCATTGACATGCAAATCAATTCATAATTTTTTTGACATGCGCTTTTCTGAATTTTTTTTTCTGTCTCTCACTGTTAAAATACATCTACCATTAAAATTATAGTCAGATCATTTCTTTGTCAGTGGGAAAATTTTCAAAATCATCAGGGGATCAAACACTTTTTTCCCTCACTGTATCTCAAATTTAGACCACTCTGTGGCTGAAATAATATATTTTTTCTAAGCACATAACCCCTTCCCATCCCAAAACCTCACTGTCTACTAAACAGATGACTTAGCATGTGAATCCCTTCTTTTTGGATGAAACTGGAGAGAATAAGATCACATATTTGTATTATATGGTCTAAGATATACCATATAGGCTGAAGAAGCCATCCAACATGTTTGAATATACCCATATATTTTAAAGTTTATTCACTCAACGGATAACCAAAAATTATATGTCAAAATAGGTCATTTGGAGAAGTAGAGGAATTGAAAAAGTTTTCATTTTGGGTACTATGACATATAATTGTCAATTGCCTTGCCAATTCTCATTAATATATATATATATATATATATATATTTATATATATATATATATATATACACATATACATATATATATGTATATATATTTATTTAGATAAGCAAACAAAGTAAATACATGAGCTACACTTGGCTGCTATCCTCTTTGAAATCAAACATGTAAAGCAGTAAATCCAGATATTCCAGCTCTAATAACAGACACTTGGTTCTATACAAGGAACTGCATGTTTCGATTGACTTTGGAAGAAAATTATATTTTAGGTGAATTAATCAGGTTATAAAGTAATCAGCAAAATGCAGATTTGAGCAGCTTGGAAATAAAGCAAGCTCTTGCTGCTAATTAACCATGCATACATATATAAAACTCTGCATCACTAAACTTTTCATTACCTACTTCACCACCGGTGTAGAGGTCAGAGTTTGTCGGGTGAACGACAGCATCACTGTCAAGGTTGGCAATGTCAGCCTTTACAACTTGCAACTATAATAGGCAAACAAATGTATGTCAACCATGTGGGATAAAGAACATATTCTACATTTATGACTTTTACCTTAATCCTTATTTTCCTACCTTTGAAGATCCAAGGAAATCATGGTCCAACACATGTGAATTGTAAAATTGTACAGAACAGTTCAGAAAACAGATTTATGCTATTGATAAGCACTAGTGAACAATACATTTCATAATATTCAAAACTAGGAAATATCCAATGTATTGATATTTTTAAAATTGAATGACGATTTTGATTTTCCACATATCTTTCAAATAGAGAATAAGATTGCAAGTGTTGAAACATTATAGGTGCCTGAGAATTCTGGTAAATGAAAGCAACAGTTTAGAAACAGACCAGATCCTTTTTTAAATAGCATGTGAAATAAATACTAGTGGATATTACTTGATCTTTTTCATGAAGAACTTTTGGTGAAACCTAAAACTGTATAAATTTTGATTACTTAAAAGTGCAGACTGTGAAAAAAATAGGTATTAAATATCCACATAACACATATATAAGACGCACACATAAGACAGTTTCTCCATTCTCAATTTGAGACACTACTGTTTTTTAATTAACACTTGGTATGTTGTGCAGGACATACAATTTGCCATTTGGAGTTTTCTCATGATTTCTGTAGTAATATGCCTACATAACAACATTTCTGAGATTTTGTTTTATAAACTGTGTATTATTAGCTGTTTTAACAAAAAAAAAGATTATACATGAAATTTGACATTTTGAGGGCATCTGAGCAGTAATTAGGTGAAGCTTTGTCAAACCAAAAAAGCTTAAATTGAAACTTAAAGTAAAACTTCTAAAACTCAGTGATTCTGAGTTCAACAAAAAGAGGACTAAAGGGAAAATGCCAAGCACCGTAACCACTATAGTACTATGTACCCCAGGATCGCGGACGCTGGCGTGGGATCAGTGGTGACCGAGTGAGCACTGGCGTACACATGACCCATGGGGCCCCGGTGCGAAAATTGATCTGTGTCCCCTCCCGGGCGCGGGCCGCAACAAATGGCGGTGGGCACCTGGTCGCAGGGGTTACAGGGCTGCGACCCCTGCGACCGCGGTATGTACGCCAGTGCATGCAGATGCACACACACTTAAAGGACCACTACAGACACCCAGATCACATCAGCTCAATGAAGTTGTCTGGGTGTCAGGTCCCTCTAGTTTTAACCCTGCAGCTGAAAACATAGCAGTTTCAGAGAAACTGCTATGTTTCACTGAGGGTTAATCCAGCCTCTAGTGGCTGTCTCACTGACAGCCGCTAGAGGAGCACACTGAACGTCCATAGGAAAGCATTGAGTAATGCTTTCCTATGGTCGGTTTGAATGCGTGCGCGGTCGCATTCGGAGCTGAGAGGCTGAGGGTACCCCAGCGCCAAGGGAGTCCGGCGCTGGAGAAAGGTAAGTGCTGAAGACACCCACACACACACTTACAGACGCTTACACACTAGCTAACAGACACACACATTTACTGACAGAGACACACTCAGCGACAGACATACATATACACTCACTTACAAAAAATACACTCATTGACAAACACACACTCACTAACAGACAGCAAACAGACTCACTAACACACACACACACACACTCAGTAAGACACACACAGTAACACACTCACTAGCAGACACACACACTAACACTACTCACTCTAACACTCACTAGCAGACACACACACTAACACTCACACACTAACACTTACTAGCAGACACTCATTCTAACACTCACTCTAACACTCACACTAACACTACTCACTCTAACACTCACACACACACACTCTAACACTCACTCACACACACTCTAACACTCACTCACACACACTGTAACACTAACACTAACACATGTGTTTTTTTTTTTTTAATGTAATCCTCCCAGCCTCCTTACCTTTTGGAGTGCTGGGGGGATTCCCTGGGGTCCAGTGGTGCTGCTGGGCTCCTGGGAAGGTGGCCGGTCGGGCAGGCGGGCGCGCGAGGGAGCACTCAGTGCTTCCTCTTCAGCTCCCTTGCGCGCTGAGTAGGGATGCCGGCGCCGGAAGATGACGTTATCTTCCGGCTCCGGTATCAGTGCGGTGCGCGAGGGAGCTGAAGAGGAAGCACTGAGTGCTCCCTCGCGCGCCCGCATGTCCGACCGGCCACCTGCCTGCCGGGTGACAGCAGGGCCAGCCTCGGGGGGCCCTGGGGTGGTCGGCTCCTGGGCCCCCCAGGGGAAGAGGCTGGCCCTGTGGGTACATACCGGGTCGCGACCCTGGTATGTACTCCACTGCGAGTGAGTATGAAGGACGGCAGGGACGTTCTATCCCGCCCTCCGGCGTTTAGAGCCACCCCAAAAAGGACGGCATAGAACGCCCCCCGCCGTCCTTAAGGGGTTAAAATTACATGATAATGTGGACTAAAACTCTTAATTTGTTCCCCCACATTTTTAGCGTAGGACCCACCAATATTGGGGTACTTTGAAAGTAGTGGTGGGCTTAACAACATATGGCCATATGGTGGAACTAAATCCCCATATTTATTCTCAGATAGGCATTTTAGTAGCCTTCTTTGTATTATATATTGTTATGTAGTCTGAGTGCGCTGCAACTATTTATTGTTTTATAAAACTCTTAAAGGGACACAATACAAGTTTAATGCAGATATATTTTGGTCTCATTAATATACTGTATTTTGTTTGTATGTTCAAATCTTTTTTTTTGTGCACAAAAAATTGTGTTGCAGAATTCTGCACCACAAGTCTGCCTCTTTAGCCATGCTTCTCATTCAAAAAAGACTTCAAAGGAGTCTCCACTTCACCAGCACTGTGTGAGCAGCTTTTTATTTACAACCTGCCCGCAAACAGTGATAAAATCTACAAACATGTATTGATATCCTTACTGTATGCCTCCTCAGATGCCCTTTCCTTCTAATGCAGATTGTTTTGCATTTCAGATCATACAGTACTGTAAGTGGTTGAGCTGTGTACATTTTTCTGTATAGAGGGGTTGTGGATAAACAGGCAGACTTATGGTGCAGCATTCTGCAAAACATTTATTTATTTTATGCAAAAAAAAATAAAAAAATAACATATTAATGAGGCCAAAACATATCAAAAAGTAGTATTAGGACTTCCCCAATAGGAAAACATTGTTTAATGCTTTCCTATGGGGTTTTCGGTGACGCTGGATGTCCTCATGCAAAGCGTGAGGACGTCCTACATCAGTTAGGGTAGCAAAATTATATATTTTTTAAGACATCAGCACTTTTATAAATTAACTTGGGTACTCTCCCCTGACTGTCAATCAAACAGTCTAGGAGGATCCTGCAATTATGTGAGTGACTGAGCACAAGCCGGCGAGCAGGTGCACGTGGGCATCAAGTCAGTCTGATTTGTTATTTCCATGTGAAGAGACTAAAAGTCCTATTCAGCCACGCTGAAAGAATGGATCACAATGGTAGAGCAGTCATGCCTATATTACTTGTGGTTTGGAATTAAAACCTTACCTATATTATTATGCATCTGTAATGCTGTATATCATTGTATGTACTTGTGTATATTGTGTATGTACTTGTGTATACTTAATACAATTAATGCTAACATCATAATTCCTTGCAAAATTATTGTATGTAGAAATTAAGATTAGAGCAGAAATATATCCATAGCAATAAAGTAGAGATTGTAGCTGTATTAGTCCAGTGATATGCCTTCATGCATATTCTGTAACTCATTGATGGGAATTCATCTCTAATAAAAGTAATTTAAAAATGTTTTACTCTCCCGTTCTAGCACCATTTTCTACACTGTTTGCTTGTTTCTTTTCTCTCTCCCCCTCACTCTGTGATCCTCACACAAGATATTTACGGCCCTCTGCGAGAATGGTACGTATTTTCTATCAAACCTGTGTCTTATCTGCACTCATGTCGCTTTAACCCCTGTATCACAACTTAACTTTGAATTCTGTATCGTCTTTGCTAAGAAATGTTTTGGAAGCTAAAACCAAAAAGGTTATGGTGGGAAAGCATTGTGATTGAAAACCCCTTCCACCTGAAGTCTGTGGATAGTTAATACAATGTTAAACAAAAATCTGAACACGAGTGAAGCCGTAAGACTTGCTTTTCCCACAGAAATCACAAATCTGCAGTGATGTTACTACCGCAAAGGAATTCAGAAATGCTTTAGAATTGAGAAAGGGAGGTTCTCCCGAAAGCATTACATTACAACATTCTTCAATTTTATCTGTTTTTTGCATCTACATCACTGGACTAATACAGCTACAATCTCTACTTTATTGCTATGGATATATTTCTGCTCTAATCTTAATTTCTACATACAATAATTTTGCAAGGAATTATGATGTTAGCATGAATTGTATTAAATGGAACAACAGTTATGCTTATTTTGCTATAGAATCAATTAAACCATTCCTTAGTTTTATGGTTCAAATCTTCTTCAGAATGTAAATTTCCAGTATTTTACTTACATTTAGTAAAAGTTCACAATGGTTTTCCCATGCATATTACATTGCCAACCTCAAATAACTGCTCAGATTGTTGCCATTTATTTATGTTTCGATTGGAGTATTATATCATTCTAGTAGTCCTTTCTACTTAAAAATACATTTTGCCTAGGTACAATGGAGAAACTACCTTTTGTGAAACTAGACGCAAGCACAAAACTCAAGTTAAGAAGCAGCTAACAGCATAAGATAATTATAGACATAAAAAAATGGTAATAAAGCTTAAAAATGTGAGGCAGCCAAAATTATTAAGCTAGATTACACTTACCGGTAATTGTTTATATTATGCATATTTTATCTTGACGAACAGCAATATCTAAAGTTATATACTTTTTTTTAGAAATGGAACATATTTTTTAAATCTATAATTATCACTTGGCCATTAGCTATATCAACCCCAAGCCCCATTTACCTATATCGTCTTTAAGGTCAATGTCAGCATTGGTAGGGTTGATAACAGCCTCCACCTCAAATGCAGCTAAATTACTGATTTCACTGTGAATTAGATTCAGCTGAAAAGAAAAGCACGAGGCGGGAAGTAATAGGGCGACAGGAAAAGTTCAGAAAATAACAGAAATACAGCAAGCAACATAGCCAGAAGCAAAAACACAGCAAATCAAAAAAGTATCAAAGTAAAATTTCAAAACAAAACATGAAATAATATTAACGCTACATCCTTAAGAAAAATAAACAGTTTATGTTAAGACATAGGTGTGCAAAAATTAACAGATTTCTCAATGACTAGATTTAATTTATTTGTTGTTCTTTGCATTAATTTACAGAGATTTAAAATATATAATTTTTTTTTTTTTATATTTGCAATAGTGGTTGTGCTGTTCCAGTTAGTGTATGCAGGTATTACATGTGAGTATTTATACTGTGTGTACACACATTTATCATTGTTTGAATGTGTGATTTACACAGAATCTTAAATCCCAAGGTGTAAAATTACTGGAGAGGAAATAATACAATGTATCTGAATTCTAGTTCCAAATGAGCAGCTGGAGTTCTGCACATATTAGATTTGTTTGTGGAAATGAAGCACTAGAGATTAGTGTTGGATTTATTCATCCAATGTTTCATTTGCTTTTAAAAACACAGGATTACATTTTCTTTAAAGTTCTAAGCTCCACAAAATATCAATAAAATATTGAAGGATTATCTGCCACCGTAACAGAACTATTTTGCTCAAATCCTCAAGAGTCCTAGTTCAGCCTGTTTTCATTGCAATACCTACTAAAGTATTCACCTTCATGCTAGGCAAAGCAAAACTAATTGGTTAATTATAATGTGTATCGCTAAAAAAAACCCACTGAAATACCAATCGTCCTTTGAGGAATGAAATAGACATCCCAGTAGTATTCTTTTTGGATAAATCTTTATGCAACAAGTTTATTGATAAACTTTTACCACATCTGTATACAGTTCTGTGGGTATTTACTTTAGCAGCCACGACACCTTGCCAGTCAAAAATCATATGGTTAATGTAGTTAAGGCATACTGACTTATGCTATGGTTGGTATGCAGTAACGAATAACTTTAGCATTTAAGAAACCCCAAGTATTGCATTATTCACAAGTTGTAAAAAAGGAGAAAATAAACGTGTTCATTAATTTGCAGTCGTGTAAACTGCATTAAAGTTTTAGATATGTTTCTCAATTTGGGACCCAATGGCAGTAATGTGGTCGGCTGAGACTCACTAAAATTAGCAGTGGCCAGTGAACCAATAGGCACTTAAAGGAACAATGCAATCACCATAACCACTACGGCATGCTGTTGTGCAGTGGTCCCCAACCTTGTTTCACTTGTGCAACCCTTGCTGGCTTATTTACATAAATTGTAGCCTTCATATTAGTGAAATGTTTGTAATTAATATAGTTGCAGTTATTTCAAATGTGTATGTTTTCCTCTGCCCCATCTCCCCTTCTTCTCTGCCCTAGGCTCTCCCCCTGCTTCTCCTTTGACCCAGGCTCCCCTGCTCCTCTTTTGCCAGAGGCATATATATCTGTGTGTGTGTCTGTATCTGAATGTATGTCAGTGTTTGTATCTGTGTCTGTATCTGCCTGGGGAAGAGAAAAGGGGGAGATGGGGCAGAGGTAAACATCTCCCTTTTCTGTCCCAGATATATATATATAAAAATCATAAAGGTGCACACCTGAATTTAGAAATGTAAACTTAATTTATTGTGCAAAATTTTTTTTCAAAGTATCGATGTTTCGAACTATATAAGGTCTTTCTCAAGATCAGAACATTGCAGTTTATAAACAGTGCAAATATATACATAATTCAAATAAAAACTTACCAACAGATGTGAAGTTACTCTTCCGTTAACCTGGAAGTGAGGGAACACCACGTGTGACGTCATTTTGCTACGTCCACAACGTGGATACTATGGTAGCTAAGCAACAGTAGTGATGGGCAACCAAAACACCTGTGAATAATACTAAGAGCCAAAGACAGCTCTTCCGAGACAGAGGATTACAGGGGTACCAGGGAAGCTATATTGTATAAGTACAAACCAAAGTGAAAGTGTGAAAAAAATCTAAACCGTGCATAAGCCGTGCATAAACTGTGATAAATAGCCTCCTCAAAAAAACTCTGTATATAAATAGAGTTATTTAGAGAGTAAAAAATCCTACAAGGATATCCAAACTGTGGCAAAAGTCACAGTCGCAGTAGTTGAGCGATGTCCTCGAATGCGGTCTCTGAGCGTTATTTCGGTCTTGCCAGCGTATGCTAGTCCAAGTCTACCAGCTAAATTCCATAGAAAACCGATCATTAGTTACAAGAGAAACCAGAATCTTCGTGATTTATTAGTTAAGGGAGATCCTATACATTGCTATAAGAATTCAACGACAAACACAAAATTAGGCTGTTTTAAATGTGCAGGCTGTGTTACCTGCAGCCATATGATTAGGGGGAAAACATTTGCACATCCACACAGTGGCAAAAGTTATCCCATCAAGCAATATATAACCTGTACAACAGACCAGGTGATCTACTTGATTACTGCCCATGTGGACTAGCATACATTGGCAAGACAGACCTAACGCTCAGAGACCACATTCGAGGACATCGCTCAACTATCAATACTGCATACAGGGATGAAAAGATTGATAAACCAGTCGCTAAGCATTTTCTGACCATGTGGCACCCTCTCCCATCTCTCAGATTCATTGCCATTGATCATGTCCACCTTTTACCCCGTGAGGGAGACAGATCTAAGACGTTGCAACGTGAGGCATATTGGATACATCATTTGAATACCGTATCCCCATATGGTTTAAATGAGAACATAGTGTTCTCTATGTTTCTTTAATTGTTTATTCACCATAAAGTGTATTTTGATTTGATTTATTCTTTTGTGGCTAGATGCTGAAAAATGACTATTAATTAGATGATATCACTAAAGTGGCTTTTCTGCAGAGTCCTCCATATGTCGGGATGGACTATAGATGTCTGTCAGTATCTTATTCTTAAAATCCATCTGTCTTTGTTTATGTTCATTGCTACCTGCACTGTCAAGTATCATTAGTGTAATCCTCTATATTGGAAGAGCTGTCTTTGGCTCTTAGTATTATTCACGGGTGTTTGGTTGCCCATCACTACTGTTTCTTAGGGGACGTAGCGTAATGACGTCACACGTGGTCTTCCATCACTTCCGGGTTAACGATCGGGCGGTGGAGAGTCACTTCACATCTATTTGTAAGTGTTTATTTGAATCAATGTGTATATTTGCACTGTTTATAAACTGCAAAGTTCTGATCTTGAGAACGTCGATCCTTTCAACATTTTTTTTGCACAATAAATTAAGTTTAAATTTCTAAATCCAGTTATGCACCTTTATGATTTTTCTTTATATATCCATCGCAGGATATATATATATATGTATGTGTATCAAGGAATCAAGGAAGGTGAACTCACAGAACTTTCTAAATAAATCTTGAAGTTGTATTGTGCTATTATACACCAAAAAATGTGTTGATGTTTCAGTCCTCTATAGGACTTTTCTCAAGACAAGTTTCAATGCCAAAAACAGAGTTTAAATAGGTGAAATAAACTCTGTTTTTGGCATTGAAACTTGTCCTGAGAAAAGTCCTGTAGAGGACTGAAATGTCGACACATTTTCTGATGTATATTAGCACAATAAAACTTCAAGATTTTTTACAAAGTCCTGTGAGTGCAGCTTCCTTGATACGTATATTTTCACATAAGGGATTTGCACCCAGGCAAGGACAAGACCACGAGAGTAAGTGCTTGATCCACGTTCATATGTATGCTACCTCATCTGTCCCAGGCGCGCATATATATATATATCTTGATAAAGACCGCTAGACGGTCGAAACGTTGATTTATATGCGTTTGATTTAATATATTTTTTTGTTTACTAAATCCAATGAGTGCTCTCAATTTGTTCCATTTATATATATATATATATATATATATATACACACACACACACACACACACACATATATATATATATATATATATATACACACACATACAGGTGATAGAATATCGTGCAAAAGTTCATTTATTTCAGTAATGCAACGTAAATGGGGAAACTAATATATGAGATAGACGCATTGCATGCAAAGCAAGATAGTTCAAGCCGTGATTTGTCATAAGTGCGATGATTATGGCTTACAGCTCATGAAAACCCCAAATCCACAATCTCAGTAAATTAGAATATTACATGCAATCAATAAAACAAGGAGTGTACATAGAACAATATTGGACCTATGAAAAGTATAAGCATGCATATAGACTCAGTACTTGGTTTGGGCCCCTTTTGCAGCAATTATTGCCTCAATGCGGTGTGGCATGGAAGCTATCAGCCTGTGGCACTGCTGAGGTGTTATGGAAGACCAGGATGCTTCAATAGCGGCCTTCAGCTCTTCTGCATTGTTCGGTCTCATGACTCTCATCTTTCTCTTGGCAATGCCCCATAGATTCTCTATGGGGTTCAGGTCAGGCGAGTTTGCAGGCCAATCAAGCACAGTAATCCCACAGTCATTGAACCAGGCTTTGGTGCTTTTGGCAATGTGGGCAGGTGCCAAGTCCTGCTGGAAAATGAAGTCAGCATCCCCACAAAGCTCGTCTGCGGAAGGAAGCATGAAGTGCTCCAAAATATCCTGGTTGACGGTTTTGTTGACCCTGGGCTTAATGAAGCGCAGTGGACCAACACCAGCAGATGATATGGCTCCCCAAATCAACACAGACTGTGGAAACTTCACACTGGACTTCAAGCATCTTGCAGTGTGTGCCTCTCCATTCTTCCTCCAGACTCTGGGTCCTTGGTTTCCAAATGAGATGCAAAAGTTGCTCTTATCAGAAAAGAGGACTTTGGACCACTGAGCAACAGACCAGGTCTGTTTTTCTTTAGACCAGGTAAGACGCTTCTGACGTTGTTTGTTGTTCAGGAGCGGCTTGACAAGAGGAATACGACATCTGAAGCCCATGTCCATGATCCGTCTGTGTGTGGTGGCTCTTGATGCACTGACTCCAGCCTCAGTCCACTCCATGTGAAAGTCCCCAACACTTTTGAATGGCCTTTTCCTGACAATCCTCTCCAGGCTGCTGTCATCCCTGCTGCTTGTGCACCTTTTTCTTCCACACTTTTCCCTTCCACATAACTTTCTATTAATGTGCTTTGATCCAGCACTTTGGGAACATCCAACTTCCTTCGCAATTACCTTTTGAGGCTTTCCCTCCTTATGGAGGGTGTCAATGATGGTTTTCTGCACAACTGTCCAGTCAGCAGTCTTCCCCATAATTGTGATTCCTACTGAACCAGACTGAGAGACAATTTAAAGGCTCAGAAACCCTTTGCAGGTGTTATGGCTTACTTAGCTGATTAGAGTGGGACACAGTGAGCCTAGAATATTGCACCTTTTCACAATATTCTAATTTACTGAGATTGTGGATTTGGGGTTTTCATGAGCTGTAAGCCATAATCATCACACTTATGACAAATCACGGCTTGAACTATCTTGCTTTGCATGTAATGCGTCTATCTCATATATTAGTTTCCCCTTTTACGCATTACTGAAATGAATTAACTTTTGCACGGTATTCTCATTTTTCGAGTATCACCTGTACACACACACACACACACACACACACACATATCTGTGACAGGAGAGGGAGATGTTTTCCTCTGCCCTATCTTTCCTTTTCTTTGCCCCAGGCTCATTTACATACAGGGCAGATACACACACTGACACACATGCAGATACATAGACACACAGATACAAACATACAGATACAGAATAACACACACAAAATCACTTAAAGAGAGACCGATACAAATACAAACACTGACACACATGCAGATTCACAGATAGAAACAGTGACACACATACAGATACAAACACTGGCACACATACAGATATACATATACTCACAATGAAACACATAGGTACAAATACATGCAGATACACATACAGATGCATGTTAGTTCACATACAGATACACACACTGCCACATACAGATGCACACACGCATATACACTGGCACACATACAGATGTACAGACATACAGATTCAAACACGGCCATGAAATTTTACAAATATATATTGTATATGTAGCCAAAAATTCAAAATACTCAGTGTATCATCAGTTTTATCAGCTTGAACAATTTGGGGTTGGGGGGGTGGGGGGAGAGGGTTGGTTGTTTGTGTGTGTGTGCGTGTGTATACCAACAGATGATGAAATAAAAAAATAAAATAATAATGTAGCGTCTTGGTATAGCCAAAACATGCACGCAAATAAAAAAATATGATCTTTTTGGTGACAAATTGTAATATATACATAGAGAGGTGTCCTTTTAGCTATGAGCAAAATGCATACCTTTTGTCCAAGGAAAAGGCTTTTTGTTGAAAGAACAGTAAATCCATCTGCAGGTGTTCCTTCAGTCGTACTATCTGCACTTGCTGCTTTGCTGACTTCTCCCTGCTTCTTCTAAATGCACATAAAATATTCCCATAAAAATAAAAGCAACAAAAAAAAAAAAAAACATTTTTAGAAGTGCAAATGCAAACAAAACTGAAACAAGTGAAATGCAATCCTTTTTTTTTTTTCCAGGTTACCCTAATAACTTGCAATGTCTCAAATCTCACTCAGGATTACAGCAACAAAGATCAGTGACTGATCTAGAAGCTAATGGCGATTTCAACACAGAATTTTGCAGAGTATTTTGAACAGTGGAAAAGACGCTGGAAACTGTGTGAGGTGCCAAAGTGTCCACTTTGAAGGGTCACTGAGGCGTCACAATTTTTCTTCTTCAATAAATGTCTCTACATTTCATATGGTATACAGTGATAGATAAGTATATATAAATATATATCTATATACATATATATATTATTATTATTATTATTATTTTTATACAGCGCCAACAAATTATGTAGCCCTATACAATGGGTGGACTAACAAACATGTGATTGTAACCAGACAAGTTAGACACACAGAAACAGAGGGGATATGTTTTTGTGAAAAAGTGAGTTTTTAATGATTTTTTGAAGGAGTGGAGACCGTGTGAGCATCTAACTGAAAAAGGGAAGGGAGATCCACAGGAACAGTTGAGCCCTAGAGAAGTCTTGGATACGAGCATCAGAGGTGGGAGTACAAACAGAGGATAGATGCAGGTCTTCGGCAGAGCGTAGGGGCCTAGACGGGACATACTTTTGTATTAGGGAGGATAGATACGTGGAAGTAGCTTTATGTAGAGATTTGAAAACAAGAACCAGATTGCAGGGACTGACAGAGAGGTGAGGCTTGGGCGGACAGGAAGATGTGCCTCGCTGCCGCATTCATTATAGACTGCAATGGGGCAAATTGGAAGCACGTAAGACCAGTGAGAAGCAGATTGCAGTAGTCAAAATACTTATTTACAAACATGTATTCCTGACACTATAGTTAGAAAAGTGCAGTTTAAGTGGTCAGCCCTACTGTTAGAAAGGTAAAAGGTGACTTTACTCCTTGTTTGAGATCATCAAAATTGACAATGTGAGCCAATTCAGTTTCTTTCCCAAGGAAAAGTCAATGCATTTCTATAAGGAACTTTCAGCGCCTCCATGAACATAGAGATGCTAAATGTCAGTGCTGCGCATTGTGCAGCACTGACCTCGGAAGCACCTCTAGTGACTGTCTGAGTGATAGGCAGAGTTTACATTAAAAAGTCTTCAGGGACATACTATACACACCAGAAGAACTATATTACGCTTGTAGTTGTTTCCATGACTATACACACTATTCCACACACTGCATCCAAAAAACACACACTTGCTACATTTTCCTATACCTGAACATGCTGCATCCTCAAAACATTTAAAGTGACACTAAACTCAACAAAACAACTTTAGCTTAAGGAAGTAGTTTTGTGTATAAATCATGCCTCTAACGTTTCACTGCTCAATTCACTGCCATTTAGGAGATGAATCACTGCTGTTTCTGTTTATGTAGCCCTAGTAGCACATCCCCTGGCTGTGACTGGCACAGCCTGCATGGAAACAAAATAGTTTTATTTTCAATCAAATGTAACTTACTTTAAATGTTTATATCTCCTGCTCTGTACATTGAGATTTAATTAAATATAGAAGGCTCCTGCAGGGTCTAGGAAGCTATTAACAAAGCAGAAGATAAGAGATTCTAAATTAACAGAATTTGCAATAAAGTGTAAACATTAGATGACTCTTTACAGGAAGTGTTTAGGAAGACTGCCTAAGTCACATGCAGAGAGGTAAGCCCAGGGCTGTGTAAAAAAAAAAAAGTGGAATGTGGCATGGAATTGAGCAGTGAAACTGCAGGGGCATGATATTCCATGTTTCCCCAAAAATAAGACCGGGTCTTGTATTAACTTTCCTCTGAAAAACGCACTAGGGCTTATGTTTGGGGGATGTCTTATTTCAGGAAAACACAGTAGCAAGCATGCGGTAGAAAGCAGGTCTACGTTCGGGGGAATTCCCCCAAACATAACCAGTTCAATAGTATATGGAATCCCACAAATCTATGTTCTTGGAATCTTTCCCGAACATAGATTTGCTTACTCGCGAATGGAATCCTGCAAATCTATGCAAAAAAGTGACTAGGGCTTATTTTCAGGAGATGTGTTATTTTCAGGGAAACACGGTATACACCAAAACTGCTTAATTCAGCAAAGGTTGTTTTGGTGACTACAGTGTACTTTTAATCTGAAATTTACTGTAATTATGGTACAGGTTCATTTGGTAAATATATGGATGTGTCTTATATTCCAATGCATCTTCTGAAAAACATGGTATGTTAGAGAAAAAAAACAAAATGGCATTTTAGAAAACATGAGTTTTGTTCAAAAATACCTTTGATTTTCTCACTCCTTTTTTGGCTCCAGGTTTCTTTGAAGTTATTTTTTTCGGCAACAGTGTTTTTGCTTTTTTAACTGGTGGAGGAGTAATGATAGCCTCCAATTTTCCTTTGGATCCCCGCTTCTTTGCTAATAACTCTGGATGTATATTTGGTAAAACACCACCACTTGCTATGGTTACTCCTTTTAAAAGCTGAGAGATAAAAGAAATACATTTTAGGCCAGAGCTTGACAAATGTCCCTATAATTAACCAACTGGTGCCAACATTTGGAAACCAGAAAAATTATCCACAATCATGACACATCACTCCACATATTAAAGGGATACTATAGGCATCAACATAAGCTTAATGAAGCAGTTTTGGTATATATATCAAGCCCCTACAGTCTCATTGCTCAATTCTCTGCCATTTAGGGGTTAAATCACTTTTATTTCTGTTTATGCCGTCCTAGCCACACCTCCCTGTGACTCACAGATCTTTCATACAAAATAGTTTAATTTTCAATTAGATTTTAACTTGCTTTAGAAGTTTTTATCTCCTGCTCTGTAAATTGAACTTTAATCACACACAGGAGGCACAGGAGGCATCGTCTAGAAGGCTATGTATGCAGCTCTGGGAGGCTATTCTGACATCTTGCAAACAAATTCAAGCAGAAACTGTCCAAAAACTAACAAGTTCAATGGATGCAAGACTTGTGAAGCTGCTAACAAATAAGGGGTCATATGTTAAAATGTAACGTGACCTGTTAAAATGTTTAAAAAGTTAAAATGTTGTTATAAGTTTGATTGAAATAGCTTTTGATTTCAGTAAATATGCTGCAAATTACAATGTTCAGTTCTTTACAACCTATAAAGTGTTTTGAAACTTACTGTGCGTAATAATAACAGTGCATTGTAAGTTTATATTTAAGAAAATACTGTTATCATTAGGAGGTTTGTTCAATAAAATTTGAATTGTACTCTTAATAGTTGATAACATGAGAATTATGCTGACTGTTATTTACATCTATTATTTAGGTAAATGAGAAAAATATCATTTGCATAATAATTTGGAACAGGGTGTAGTGTCAGGAACACCGCTTTGTTTTCCTCACACTATAGTGATCCTTTAATCTTGATGATCTCACCAATCCAATGCTTCCCCTATTACACATGTGCAACTATTTAATGCATCTCTATCTGGAGGCAGGGAGCAGAACCTGCCAGAACCCAGATCAAGAAATCAAATTGTTCAAAACATTCTGCATACTTACAATGTGGCAGTTTAACCAGTACAGCTAACTACAGGGTTATGGTGCTTGAAGTGTCCCAGTTTTTCCATGGGTGTTGGCAAACAACTATATTCTAATATTCTATTCTTCAGAATGATCACCATTACGGATTGGGTTTTACATACTCTAAAAGTGAAGATCCCTGAAAGTGCCATCTCCACTTAGGGGTACAGTGGAAAGTAAATATACTTACCTGGAGCTGTCCTTTATTTCTACCTCCATCTTCTTCCTGGCACTTTCTTCAACTCATGATGTTTCATTTGCTAAGGAGCCGTGTCACTGCTGTACTTTTGCCTATGTGAAAGGGTACAACACTGGGGTCTATGGAGGATCCTGTGAGTCCACATGAGCCTCCATAGATCAAGTCCTACAATGAGCGAAATTATGCTTGATTCTCTAACAAGGATTACTGTGATTTGACAAAAGCTAAAAGAAAAGCTTTATTCAACCTCAGGAGTGTAAAAAAAAGAAGCCCCTATATTTGTCTTATGATATATATGGAATTTGTTGGAATTTCAATTAGGTCACTATGGATATTACATAAAGAAATCGATGAAATACTCAGAAGCGACAGAGCAACTATAGAGTTTACAGGCCCACTTCCAGCTTACAAACTCTAATGTGGTTGAAGAAATTTTAAAATGGTAAGGCATGTAACTCAACACATGGAAGTTGACTAAGATATATACATTTTAAATTGGGTATTTGTGAGGTACACTCAGTCCGGGCATTTCTCACAACTCTCTCTCAACACCTTATCCAGACAGCCATCATGCCCTATAATAGAGTCAGAATCTGTGAGGTGGTGTAAAAAAGGGGTAGGAAAATTATAGCACTGCAGTACTGTATGGTGTTGCCACTAATAGTGGATATGTAAACGTTAACTATTTTACCATGGCAATAGACCATTTATTTTTTTAAATTTTTATTATGACTGAAATATTTGATGGAGTGCTGGCCTAAATAACCTTATGGACAAGCCACTGTTGGCACAATCTGTGTTTTGCTTCAAATCAGGAATGTTGGAGTAGAAAGCAAAAAAATATAAAAGTTATGTTACATTTCAAAAACCTACCGAGGATCACCCATTCTCCAATGTCTTATATAAACAGGTATTAAACCTCACAATAAAGGGCAACTTGTTATATGTTTCTAAATTGTATAATAAACTCCTACCTGGTTCAATTCTTCATCATTTGCCACAGCAAGAAGTATGTGCCTTGGTGTAACACGACCCTTTTTATTATCTCTTGCTGCATTTCCAGCTAATTCCAGAATTTCCGCTAAAAGGAAAAAACAACATTTCAGTTATTACCTTTTGGTTAGAATATAGTTATGCAAACATTGGGTATCACAAATTCAAATTAACCTCAACCTAGTATAAAATAATGTAGTGCAAGTAACTCGATTTACGCATTACAATAGAGGTGGACTAGGCCTGCATAAACAAAGTGATTTAATTCTTAAATGGCAGAGAATTGAGCAGTGAGACTATACACCAAAACCACATTATTATGCTCAAACTGTATTGATTATTGGAGTGTCCCTTTAAAACTATCTGGCATTCACAAAAGTTACACAGTAGAAATCTATTACCTGGTAAAATAATACAAAACTTTTTACTGCTACTGTAAATAAAGGAGAGTGGAAACATTAAATGGCAACATGTATTATAACGTACACTTAAACGAACACTGTAGGCACTAGATCCTCTACAGCTTATTGTAGTGATTCTGGTGTGTGCAGCCTGTCACTGCAGGCTTTTCAATGTAAATGCTGCCTTTTACAGTGTGCAGCACTGGCATTCAGCATCCACGCACTGCACGGAGACACTGAAAGTTCCCCATAGAGATGCCATGATTCAATGCATCTATACTTCACCAAGATTTTTTTTTTTTTAATTCTTTATTTTTGTTGTGCACAAATAAAAAAACAGCCTCAATATGCCACAACAGCGGGATCGAGGTATATAACAATTCAATATGCAATACAAGATGTGACACTTGATATTTAGGCACAAAATTATTTTGTTTTTTAAAGCAGGTGAGCTATAAATAAGTCAGGCTAGTGAGTTCAGGAATATTAGATTATTACAGTAGTTGAGCCGACAGTATATGTTATGTAGTTAGGACAGGAATAGTCAAAAGTGTTATAAAACGTGCACATTAACTATAAGAACAGCCAGTGGATTTTAACACGTGCTAGGCAAGTATAGGTTATTATACCACACGTTCAAGGAGCCACAACTGCAGCTGCAATCTCCACCACAGAATATATGTTGGGTTACAAGCATGGCAATGGAAAAGTCAGCACAGCCCAGTAGGCCAGCCCTCTCAGTTTAACTGATTACTGGTAGATGTTGTCAGACTAATGTACAGTGTGCAAGCGTATGTATGGAGATTGCTGGGTGCCTGTTTGTGTATTCATAGTATATTAGTGATGTCAGATGCTGGTTAGTAGGCTGGTGAAAATGCGGGAGGAGACATTAGTCAGTACCTGTGCGACAGGGGACTTGTGTGACAACAGTGTCAGGTACAGTGTGATAGTAAGGGACGGACCAGGAGGCAGACATAACAGAAAAACTACTTATAAACATTTGGTCCAGCTATTTAAATATTGTCTGCCCATCAAGCCCAGTCAAGTTTACATGCGCGTCTAAGTGGAAGTGGAAAACCTCCCCGGGGGAGCACGGTTCACTAGGTGCTTGTGTCACTAAAACTGTGCCAAAGTTAGACACCTATAAATTGTCGCTTAGGTCATCACAGTAGGCTTTTCAGCTATTAAGTAAAAAATAGTGCACATTAGTAAACATGCGTGCTACTATGCTTAAGAGTATTGGGTAGGCATCATTTTAACACATACAATATAGGAGCATCACAAGACAATTAGCTGAGCAGATTGGCAGGTAAGTAAAACAAATTAATGGAGCGCCTCACCCGCTGAGGGTACCCTCCCCCCAAGGCTTTCTTTATGGCTGGGTCAGTCCGGCGCTCAGGTCATCAAGCTATATCCACATGAGGTTTGCAAAAAAGAAAGGGAAAGAAAAAGCATAATATGTCATGAAGAAGTGAGATGCAACCGTTAAAAAGGGTTCTGTAGTATCTCAGCAGTTCTCTGCAGTATGGGTAGACTTGGGAGAACCACGTGTAGGTCCCACCGCCTCTCTTCAGCCGATGCCTGTTCGGGTCAGGATACAGTCCTGCAGTATGATGTTGTAGGGTGCGGCTCTCTCACACTCTTCCACGCTGATTGCTAGTAGCGTGTCGCCCTTGCTAAGCGCCTCGTGTGAGTGTTCACCACATTGCGGCCTGTGCTGTCGCCGTTGGGGATTGCCTTTTTGGGGCTCTATGGGAGTCGCTGCCCCAGTGCCTTGGACCTTGTTCCGGGTTTCCACTGCAGCCCTTCCTGGGCGCCTCAGGTACCCAGCTCCTCGATGCTTTCTGGGCATCACGATTCCTTGCAGTTCCCAAGTGGCTGTTGCCCTTCTCTTGCTGCCGCCAGACAGGCCTCCCGTCTCCCTCTTTCTGAGAATTTCCGGCTGGTTTTGTCGTGCCAGGCGTTGAGGTGCTCGGGGTGTCTGTACAGGCTTGCATTTAACCTTGCTTGGGTGAGTGCGCGAGTGTGTTTCTGTCTCTTTCTCATGGGGTGATGGGAACAGGAGGGCCTCGAGCTTCTCCCAAAGTACTTGAAAGGCTCTGTCCAGCCGGTGCTCCACCTCCAATCCGCCCGCTGTGAGTATTGGAGGAGCCCCTTGCCTCCACCATTTTGTTTGCATTTCCGCCGCTCGTTTCGGGCCCCTGTGTCGCCACTGTATGGGCGCCGGGTTGTACCAGGGTCTCCCAAGGACAGACCGGGATATCCCCCACCGGTCCAGGGGGGGGGGGAACGGGCATTTGGTCTCCGTTTATTAGCCGTGGGTGTCGGCAGGGGAGCGGCCGTCTCCCTCACGCCGACCACGCTTATAGGCCCCACAGGTCGAGGAGGCGAGTTTTGCTGTAAGTGTCGCTTGTGAGGCATCATTATGTGCCCCTCTCTGTCACCTTCCTCCTGGTGTCCTTTTTGTGCTGGTTATGTCTGGTTTGAACGGCTGTTTTTCACTTTTTCCGTGCCGCAGAGCAGGAGCTGCACAGTTTAGCTTCCTCTCCTCTCAGCGGCCAGGCCCAGCCCCCCACCAAGATTTTTAATATACTACACTATATTAAGTTTCTTTGTTCATTCTATATATCACTGGATCTGAGAACAATTCTACAGGCGCTGTCTCCCCGCACCCCTTTCTGCAATATAGCTATAATATGTTTCCTTCTTTTTTTGTTTGTTTTTTGGGGGGTCTAGGGGGAGGGTTTCTGTGCAAATGATTTTCCATATAAGTTAAAACATTTCTGTTCCCATAAATAAACTTGATGTGTTTCGTAAAACACATAAGGAAAAGAAGGACAATATTTCCTTATAGCAGTCGAGTTGGCAAAAATTGTCAATTGATCTGTTTTAGTTACCAACAACCCATCAGTAAAATCAATGCTACTAATGGGCACATAGGAGACATCATAGGGCATACATAGGTAGAGAAGATACAAATGGCTGTGCACAGTTATTGAGATACGGCACATGGAAGAAAAGATAATAAATTTCAATAACAGCAAGTGGCAAGGAAGGGAGTATAATCTTTACAGGCACACTAGAACACTATAGCCTTAGGAATACAAATGTGTATTCTTAACACAATTGTTCTAGTCAACAGCAGCAGCATCCGGCTTCTGAAATTGACATTCAGGAAGTGCGAAGTGATGCCAGTCAGGGGTGCCTCTAATTAGCTTGAGTGGTCAGTTGATGCTCAAATACAAATAGTAGCTCCCCATTCACAAAAAAAGGTATATACCATACAAGAAAGATTTAACCCCTACAGGTAAGAAATCCCCCAAGAACCTCCTGGCACCATAACAACTTATTTTCAATATAGATGTTATGGTGCCTGGAGTGTTCTTTTAATTTGGACCAATAAGGACTTTATTATGGTTTTCCCCATGGAGCAATGCTAAACCAATCGATACATTGAACAGATGTATTTACTTACATATGTGCATTACTAATATATATTAATAGATGCTATATTCATGTAATCTTTTTTTTTTTTTTTAAACCCCTTAAGGACCGGCTTGTTTTTGCGATGTTGTACGATAAGGACCAGAGCGGTTTTAACACTTTTGTGGTGTTTGTGTTAACTCTCATTTACGGTTCCTATACAAATTATATATTGTTTTTTCAGGACAAGAAGGGCTTTCTTTACATACCATTATTTGTATCATGTCATATATTTAAAATATGGTGAAAAATTGAAAAAAAAATACATGTTTTTGGACTTTTACTTGAAAAATCTTTTAATTATCTACAACAGCTAATGAAAAAAACTGCTAAATCGATTAAAAATTTTGTCCTGAGTTTAGAAACACCCAGTGTTTATATGCTTTTTTTTTTGCAAGTTATAGGGCTATAAGTACATGTAGGAAATTGATCTTTCAATATATATATATTTTACATTTATCAATAGTGACATTGTAACACTGTTATCTGTCATAAATCCCTGAATCACACCCCACATGTACATATTTTTTTAAAGTAGACAACCCAGGGTATTCAATATGGGGTATGTCCAGTCTTTTTTAGTAGCCACTTAGTCACAAACACTGGCCAAAGTTAGCATTTATATTTGTTTGTGTGTTAAAAATGCAAAAACCGCTAACTTTGCCCAGTGTTTGTGACTAAGTGGCTGCTAAAAAAGGCTGAACATACCCCATTTGCAATACCTTGGGTTGTCTTCTTTTGCAAATGGTATGCCATCATGGGGGTAATTCTCATTCCTGGGCTACCATACGCTCTCAAAGGCAACATTACCAATCCGACAAATTTCAATGAAAAAAAAAAAGTAAAATCAAGCCTTATATTTGACCGTGTAACTTTCAAAAACACCTGTACATGAGGGGTACTTTTATAGTCAGGAGACCTCGCTGAACACAAATAATAGTGTTTCAGAACAGTAAAACCTATCACAGCAATAATATCATCAGTGAAAGTGCTGTTTGTGTGTAAAAAATGCAAAAAACGCCACTTTCACTGACCATATCATCGCTGTGATATGTTTTACTGTTTTGAAAGACTAATATTTGTGCTCAGCGAAGTCTCGCGAGTAAAACAGTATCCCCCATGTACAGGTTTTAGGGTGTCATAGAAAGTTACATGGTTAAACACAGTGCTAGCAAATTAAATTCTCTGGACTTTTGGCCTGGGTTCTCAGGCATGTCCCTCAAATTGCAATCAATAAAATTACTTAATTATGTAATAATACCGTATTTTTCGCTCCATAAGACGCACCTCACCATAAGACGCACCTAGTTTTTAGAGGAGGAAACCCAGAAAAAAAAATATTCTGAACAAACTGTTCCATAGTGTTTCTTACCATGGGACAGTTTGTTCAGAATATTTTTTTTTCTCCCCTGTCCCATAATGATCTTTAACCCCCCTTTCCTCTGTCCCATAGTGATTGTTAACCCCCTCCTACCCTGTCCCATAGTGATTGTTAACCCCTCCTACCCTGTCCCATAGTGTTCTTTAACCCCTCCTCCCCTTGTCCATTAGTGTTCTGATCCCATAGTGTCCCCCCCCTCCCATTGTCCCATAGTGCACTTTCCCTCCCATAGTGTGCACTTTCGCCCCTGTCCCTCCCCCTTGTCCCATAGTGTGTCCCCCTCCCCTTGTCCCATAGTGTCTCCCCCTCCCCTTGTCCCATAGTGTCTCCCCCTCCCCTTGTCCCATAATTACTTACCTGTCTTGGAGCGTGGGCCGGCTTCACAGCGCGCTCCGCGGTCCAGGAACTAATATTTCAGGTTCCGGTTTCCGGCGGGACTGAAAGGAAGTGTGCACACTTCCTTTCAGTCCCACCGGAACCTGAAATAGAAGTTCCTGGACCGCGGAGCGCGCTGTGAAGCCGGCCCAAGCTCCAAGACAGGTAAGTAATTCTTCACATTCGCTCCATAAGACGCACAGACATTTCCCCTCACTTTTGAGGGGGAAAAAAGTGCGTCTTATGGAGCGAAAAATACGGTATTACATAAATATGAACTTAAAAATTAAATATATCTACATATTTATATATTTGAAGTCTACGTGTATATTTAGGAAATTATTTATGTAATTATGTATATAGACATATGTATATTTCGTATTATTTTTATTTATTTATTTATACATAGATATATATATCATTTCATTCTAAGTGTATTTTGATATAAATATATATATATATTAATATCAAAATACTGTTAGAATAAAATTACATATATATATAATTTTTTTAAAATTATTAAAAATTATTTAAATTTTTTTACATTTAATTTCATATACGTTATTTATATTTTATAATAATATATATATAGAATATATATAGTGATTATATTATATATATATATATATATATATATATACACGTGTGTAATTTAATTATAAGTGTATTTTTATATTAATATATGTATATATGAATATAAAAATACACTTAGTATGACATTATATATATATATATGATATATTTACATATTATATATAGATATAATACATGTATATATATATATATATATATATATATATATATATCTTATATATATATATATATATATATATATATATATACATACACACACACACACACATTTTTACACTGATTGATTTTATTTAACGTTATTTTTGATTTTGCAGATGCAGGGAGACTGCCTGTCAGCACAGACAGTCCCCCTGCAGGCAGATACACAGGCACCTATTGCGGCCACGTGATCGAGCTATCACGTGGCCGCAGGTTCCTGATCTGCCGCGGGGAGACTGTCTGTGCAGACAGGCAATCTCCCTGGACCGGGAGGAACGCTGATAAGAGCTGGTAAGTACTCCCAGACCGTTATGACGGTTCAGGACCGTCATCGGTCCTCAAGGGGATGTTTCCGATGACGGTCCTGAACCGTCATCGGTCGTCAAGGGGTTAAATGATGACAGTTTTCTTTTAAAGTAACAAAAGTGCCACAACTACAGTATGTCAGGCGTGATCTGAACACCCCAAATATAAGTAGTTAAAACATTTACTAACAGTTTGACTTCTTACCTGGAATCTAATAGTGGTTTGACTACTTACGTTGTGGGACGCCATGGCACTTCCCGCAACATAAGTACTAAAGGGCTGTACAAGTTATGGTTTCTTTGAGTGTTCCTTTAAAATATATATATATATATGTACATATATATATATATTTTTTTTTATTTTTTTGTATTCATGTTCATACATTTTTTAAAGCACTATCTATATTTTGCAATACAAAATGGGGGGCACTTGCAACCTGGAGTGTCCTTTTAAGACAAACGTACATTTCTAGTAAGACAATTGAGTCGGATAGCAAAGGGTGGCCTGTAAATGTATGCTAATGTAGGTTGTTTTACATAGATCGCTCCAAAGCTTAACAGTCCCAAATAAGTTACAGTCCCACAGTCATGGTGAACATATTTTACTCAGGTACTAGTCTCATCCTAAATTACTCTATGATGCTTTATTAGCACATATTATTGTGTAGAAGATGTGTATGTGTTAAACAATATTTACAAAGCGCTACATACCAAAGGTATTTATCATGTTTAGTATTCTACAAAGTAAACAAGCCAGACTTGTTCTGTAATTAAACTTGCTTTGCAACTAACATATGGAACCCTAGTGAAGGCAAATTTCTTAGCTGCATTAAAGATTTGCATTTTGTAACCTAGGCATTCCTTTTAAAGAAACACTCTAAGGATAAAAATAAATGTATTTATTTATAACATTAGTGGGTTCTTTATTCTCTATTTCACCACCACCTGAAAACAGCAACAAAAAAACACTTTATTCGCCAGGAAACCAGCGCTGGGATGGACTTCACCAGGCAGCCGGTCCTTCCTTCTGAGAGCATCAAAAGTGTTTACCTCAGTTTAATCTAATGCTTCACATTGAGAAGAATGAGGGATATAAAGCATATGCACAGCATTATATCATGTGCTGCATGATGATGCTGAATATGAAGATCTTCAAAAATTGAAACCCTATAATCAGGAGGTGGCTCAAGTGGCTGTCTGTCATTGTTCTCGTGAAAACATTGCTCTCACAGTTAGAACAACAACTGCTTGTCAAAACACGTTTTCGGGGCACGGCTTACTCGCTTACAAAGCTTTATGGGTGTGCAGAGGTTATACCTCTGGAAGCGATAGCTAAGTAATACCTATATTCAATCAGATACCTAACAGATATTTAGACTGACAGTTTGCTGAATGGGAGCACCAAGCCGTTTTCATGGAGCATAATAAGATAAAACAAGTTAGTTTTCCTCGAAGATTAGGCGCCCACGAAGGCACAGTATAGACTAGGGCTACTTAAGCTCCATGATTATATGAAGGGCATGGTCAAGCAGTGGAGCGGAATGGTGGCTTAAGTGCTGAGCTCCTCCGACCCTGAACTGCCGATCGTGTGACTGCATCCATAGAGACACAAATGGGGAAGAACTCCAAGACGGTGGGCACCCGCAAACCATCGGGGCCCCGCCAGACCGCGCTTCACTCCTCCACGCGGCAGTGTTTAGCCTCGTCGACGGACATGGCCTCCCAGGCATCATCTGAGACCTACCCACACTCAGAGATGTTGACGCCAAGCTCGACCTCGCCGGACCATGAAGCTGCAATCTATGGCATGTCATATAGAGGACCTTGACAATAGGGGTCGCAGGCAAAACCTGAGAATCAGAGGCCTACCCGAAGAAACCACCGTTCAACACAAAGGCCTACTTACTACAATCTTTAATGGCCTCCTGAACCGCACCAGGGACATTCCTATCGAATTTTGTCCTGGCTCACTGGGCCCTGAGACCCAGGGGCCCACCTGATTCCCCTCCATGGGACGTGATATGCTATCTGGCCCTATACTCTCTCATGGAGGACATTTTAAAAACAGCACGCAACAACATTGACCATGAGGGTCAACCCATTCAACTATTCCCGGACCTATGCCCGGCCACGTTGGGCTACCGCAGAGCACTGAAACCCCTGACCCCCGCACTGGTTGCACAGAAAGTGCGATATAGGTGACCATAACTCCAGGGGGTCCCAGACAGATCCGCACTCAACAAGACTTGCAGGAGCTCTTAGAGGAATTACAATTACTTCTACAACAGTCCTACACCACCACCGATGGGACTGACCAAAGTGCAGAGATGGAACTGGACCAGAATGGAGACCACACGACCGGCAGGGGTCACATGCTAAGAGACACCCCGCAAGCACCTTCACAGTAATGGCGGCCTGGGAACGTGTAACCATCACCCGGGGCACACTGGGACTATGACCCACACATGCAGCAGTGACCAATACGAACAGGTACCCTCCACAATCAAGGCCTATTAGCTAAGGGTTTGCACACTGGTGGGGGTATACAGGGACTGGAGGCCACACAGATACAGCCCGAAATCACCCACTCCAAACTATGGGACTCCGCATAGGGAAGAAATCGACCACTATGCAAGGGGGGACGACTGCTCACCAGCGGGTGCTCGGAGGTGGAGGACGCTACCGCCATCTCCCCGTAGATGTTGTGGAGGAGTTTGTGCTGCTGGGGATAGGGGTGGGGGGGGCAGTGCCTCGGCGGGTGGGATACAGCAAGGGATAATGTGTCTGACGAGGGCCTATAAGTTTTGCTTTATGAAACCACAATCTATGGCAATTGGAGGGGTCAGGGGACATCGAGGGGTCTCTTCTACGTGTTAATTTTATTCCACCCTCTCGCGGGGAGTGGCCTCACGGCCCGCCGGCCGATGTGCATTGAACTGGGGCCTTGGACCGCTCTTTCACGGTCAAGAGTGGCCGGGCCATGCTCCCAATATACTGGGGTGTACTGATTGCGTTGGCGGGGACTCGACTGGGCTGGCTGGTGCGGCCGTTCCGACTCTAACCCCGCCTGCACCTTTGTCCTAAGTTGTATGTTTACACTGTTTATTTTTGTTATTGTTTTTGTTGCTGTTGGTTGCTGACTTGGGTCGTGGTGTTTGCAGGGGAGGGAGGCAACGGCTTAGCCACACTACCCTCCTCTGAAGGCGATCTCATACCCATACGCCCCTCCCCCTCACTGGACATGGTCCCTCTGGTTCCCCCCTCTGCCGCCCCCTCCTCACTCCTTTTAAACCACCCATTGGTGACGTCCGAGGCTCGAGATCAACTCACACTATATTTTATTGAGAAAGATACACCAGATGTCCCTCCCCTGTGCCTGTGGGAGGCTCACAAATGCATCATACAAGGCCATTTCATAGCGAAGGGAACAGCGCTGAAAAAGGACAGAGCCACTCGCTTCTTGACCCTACTCTCAGACATACAGTCGTTAGAAACGTGACACAAACAGACACAGCTCCCCACCGACTGGACCCAGCTGACTGTGCTCCATTGGGACCTATCCTAAACACAAACTACCAAAGGGCATATTTGCACTCTAAATCTTTCTTTTATACGAATGCCAATAAGTGTGGGGCCCTAATGGCTCGCATTATAGCCAAAAAGAGGATGACGACCTACATCCCTAAAATTAGGGCTAGGGACGGGGGCAACTGAAATACACATCATCGGAAATAGCAGAAACCATTAGGGAATATTACGCAGACCTCTATTCGCTCACACCACACATAGGAGAGACGCCCGCAGGCGACAGGACTGTCCGCATAAGGCAATACCTGGAATCTCGCCTAAGTAAACACCGGAAGCAGTGACAGACCTAGAGGAAATGATCATGGCAGAAGAACTGGCGTGGGCCCTTAAAACCACCAAGCTCAGGAAGTGTCCGGGGTCAGATGGCCTGCCGACACAGTATTACAAACAATACGCAGAGGTCCTCTCCCCCCTCCTGCTTGCCGCACTCAATTCGCTCTGAGAGGGAACCCAATTTCCCCCACAAGCCTTTGTGGCAAACATCTCTTTGATGGCCAAAGAGGGCAAGGACGCAGAGCAATGCGCAAATTACCGCCCGATATGGATATGGAATGGAACCTGACAGATGTTCCCCTTCTCGCACTTGCTCTTCGTCATTTCCCTCTAACCCTTTCTGAATTCAATTGGGAACAACTCCAACATTCCAGGGCTGCGGGTGGGGAGAGAGAGACATTTGGTGGCGGCATATGCAGATGATTTGCTATTTTTCTGCACCGACCCAGAGTCCTCTCTGCCTATCATTATGGAGGAGTTCACAGCATACAGGGCGCTATCAAACTTCAAAATTTATTTCACTAAATACACTATTCCATTCACCACTCAAGAGCATCAACTCTTAAACAAAGACTCCTTTTCCAGTGGTCTGACACTTCCCTGAAATACTTCAAGCATTGTGATCACGAAAGACCTTACCCAGTTACACCAGTCTAACTTTCAGCCACTTCTGACTACACTCCACAAAGATCTTGAGGAATGGGCGAAGCTCTGCCTTTCATGGTTTGGCAGAGTTGGGGTGCTCAAAATTAACCCAGGATCCTTTACCTGTTCCAAACTGTACCCATCACTATCCCAGAGGCTTTTTTCAAACTTTGTTCACTCCATGTCCCTTAGATTTAGCTGGCCTAAACTCAAAGCAAGGATCAAGCATGATGTCCTCACCTTATCGAAGGTAAGAAGGGGCTTAGCCTTGTCGGACTTTAGGATTTACTACGGAGCCACAAGCAGTAATGTATAATGGAATGGGACCGAGCAGGGAGTATCTAAACTCTGGAAGGGTCAGGCCCTTGACAATGGAAGGGTCAGGCCCCTGGAGTTAATGGCACAGAACGAAAGGCCATAATTTTACCGTTATAAACAGCTAACTGAATTTGCACTATCACCCCAGTCAACTCCACCTCGAGACCACTCACAAACATCGAGGTGCTATGCATGGGCCCGGACCCATTGGCAAGGGGCCTGTCCACACTCTGCGGCATGTTTATGAAGTTCAGGCGATTGCCGCCGCCGAGCTTCATGGGGAGGTTGGAGGTAGCCTTGGGGACCACTTTTTCTACTGAACAATAGGCCAAAATATGTACTCTCACGCTACACTGCGCACCATCTAGTGGGGTACAGGAAACGACATATAAACTGCTAGCCGTGTGGTATTTGTCCCCACAACACATCCATACCTATAACCCTCCGCCGATACTTGGTGGGTATGCCCTCAGATTAGACCTTACTGGGCGACTTTCCACACACTCATGGAACGGTTTTCAGATGACCTGCCACCACTGACCCCTGCAGCATTTCTCATACACCACACCACAATGCGCAACTCGGCATACAAAAAATCCTTGCCGATAAGGATCTTTAACGTTGACAAAAGCATGATTCCTCTTTACTAGAAAAAACAGACAGTGCCTCCCCTGACCCTATGGTACCAGCCCATGGAAGAGTTCAGGGTTCTGGAAGAACTCTTCCTACAGGCGGAGTTGAGATCCCAGATGTATATGACAATCTGGACACACTGGATCCTCTCCACCGAAAGACCCAATTTTCAAGCCCTTATCCACTAACCGAGTGACTACTACCACGACAGACATCAGGGAACACTGACGACGAAAAAGACTGGTAGACCCAGCCCCGACTCGTAGGGGGGACACCACAATATGAAGGGATACTATATTGGCCAATCGGCTGCCTAAGATTGAAGTCACATGACGCTACCGAATCAACCTTCCTCGACTCCCACCCCACCCGCGTCCTTCACCAGCATGGCCGCTTAGGCCGCTCCCTCCCTTCTCCCCCTCCCTGCCCCTGCGGAGCCACGCGCCTTGGCTATGCTTGCCTAGAGTTCCGTGGCACCTGCCCTGGGAAGGAAAGTAATATCGATGGGGAGTCATTAGAGCAGGGACACTCCACCAGCCAACCACCAACAAGACGGGGAGGGGAGAAAGAAAACCCCAGCTGGCTGCGGCTGCAAATCCTTCAGTACCCCCCCGACAGCAGTAGTAATGCCCACACTACCCACATACCAAGATCTGCCACCGAGCGAGTCACAGAACCTAGTGCTCAAGCAGTATTCCAGATACCTATATGCTCCACACTACTTTCCTGCAGACCAGCGGATCCAAGAGCTTAGTTGTATATATGTTATGTCATGAGTACCTACGCGTACTACCAGAGTTGCTACCAACAATTTGAGGTAATGCAATAATGACACTATGTATTATGCAAAAATACGGGACCTGCGAGTCCTCAACTGCACAGAGCCTGCGAGCCCACACAAACATATACCGTATTTTGCACCTCATTCTGATCTTCATGTTTTGTTGGGGACCTGCAAGTCCCATGTTGCTTTCACGTCAAAATTGCGTACCAGGCACGAATGACTGAACCAATAAACTTATTTCCAAGTAAAAAAAAAGCTAAACTATGAAAATAAAAATTAACCAGATGTATTATTGGGTACATAACAAAAGGCACTTTAGTAGGAAGCATATATTCCCTTTGGGTGTAGTGCCACTAATTACAAACATCAGCTGATAAATTGATACAATCACTTCACTTAAAGGACCACTATAGTGCCAGGAAAACATACTCGTTTTCCTGGCACTATAGTGCCCTGAGGGTGCCCCCACCCTCAGGGTCCCCCTCCCGCCCGGCTCTGAAAAGGGGAAAGGGGTAAAAACGTACCTTTTTCCAGCGCTGGGCGGGGAGCTCTCCTCCTCCGATTCTCCTCCGTTCCTCCCCGTCGGCTGAATGCGCACGTGCGGCAAGAGCTGCGCGCGCATTCAGCCGGTCGCATAGGAAAGCATTCACAATGCCTTCCTATGGACGCTGGCGTGCTCTCACTGTGAAAATCACAGTGAGAAGCACGCAAGCGCCTCTAGTGGCTGTCAATGAGACAGCCGCTAGAGGCTTTGGGGGAAGGCTTAACCCATTCATAAACATAGCAGTTTCTCTGAAACTGCTATGTTTATAAAAGAATGGGTTAATCCTGGCTGGACCTGGCACCCAGACCACTTCATTAAGCTGAAGTGGTCTGGGTGCCTAGAGTGGTCCTTTAATCTGATTCTCAGGGAATCGCTACATTTGCAGATACTCTTGTTACTTTTAAGAGGTTTCACTACTAATTTGACTATAAGTGTTGAAAGGATACCCAATTGTAGCAGTATGCTTATGTAAAACTGGCCAAACTACATACACATATCCTATTATCTAGTTCCAAATACCTATGAATTGGAGTGTGTTTTGGAGTTGGAGTAAATATCCTTAGTTTCTCCCTTCTTTTTTTCCCTTCTTTTCTTATTATTTTTTCATTTTTTGATTATATATTTTTGTATCCGTTGTTAATAGAATTTTGATTAAACGTTAAGTTTTATCAATCAAACTCAAGTGTATGTTTCAACCTCATAAGAAACCTATTTGGATACGGCATTTTGTTCTTATTTCTCTAAATTTGCTCTCACAGTTAATTCTTTTCAAGTGGCAATGTTTTACATAACCAGGCAAAAAGGGTTTATGCATCAATATCACTTTAATAAGATTAAAGGAACAATATAATGTCAGGAATATAAATGTGTATTCCTGACACTATAGCTCTAAATATCTGTATAATTCCCCTCTCACCTCCAGTTAAAAAGGTGATTCTACTCAACTTTCTCCAGAGCCGCAGTGGTGTGGTCGTGGCTGGCCAGTCATGTTTCGCTCTGTTGGCCGAGATCATCAGAAAAGCAGTGGGAGGCTATCGTGCATGCATAGCAAAACGCATCTCCTCATAAAGATGTACTGACTCAATGCAACTCTATGGGGAACGTAGAGCGTGGAAGCACCTCTGTAGGCTGGCTGAGTGACTACCACTGGATAGGTCCCTAGGCAGCAATGTTAAACACTGCTTTTTTTCTGTAAATGCAGAGTTTTTATTAAAATGACTGCAGTAACAAGCTACAGACACCAGAGCAACTACATTAAGCTGTAGCTGTTCTAGTGACTATAATGTCCCTTTAATTAACTAGCTATAATTAATGTGCATTCTGGGATTTCACATTAAACTCAGAATTAACCCCTTAAGGACACAGCTTCAGAAGCTTGTCTTATGCTTAATGACACAAGCAATTTTTGCATTTTCTTGCTGTATGCGTTCAACTGCAATTTGCATCTCTCTCGTTTATTGCACCGACATATATTATATACTGTTTTTTAAAGGACAGAAAGTGCTTTAATTTGATGTAACATATATATATATATATATATATACACACATACATATATATATATATAAATGCTTATTTATTATTAAACAAATACAGAAAAAGGTAGAAAATTTTTTAAAAATTGTGTTTTTTTGTACAGTTTTTGCAATAATAATGTGTGCCTAATTAGTGCAGGTTAAAGAAAGTAATTAAAAATAAATTCATTTAGTTGTTCTGATTTACAGAATATATAATGTGTCTGGGATTTTAAGTTTTTTTTGGTAGTTACAGGTCACAAAGCACAAGGAGTAAAATAAACTTTTAATGTGGAGCGATTTTAGAATTTGGTATGTTTGTCTTGTAAGCTTAATAGCCATAAAAAAAAACAAAATTGTCACACAAAAGTATATATTTATATAAAGTAGACATCACAGGCTATTGTCCTAAGGTTATTGACACTTTCTACGTGGCCATTTCACCGCCAATCTCTGCTAAATATTGGAGTAAAATTTTGTGTTTTGGGGTTTTTTGGCACACAAACTTATAACAAAGAACTTCTCATGAGTATTTTGTAAAGTTGGTGTGTTCTATTCCTGTACAAAGTTTTATTTTGTGTTCAGTTACTTCTGCTGAGTACAACGATACTCCCATTGTATGTCTTTGGCAGTATTTCGTGAGGCTACAGTGCCATATAGGAGACCTGTCCGTTTCAACATTTACAGTAGAATTTTGAGAGGCGGGTTTAATGTGCCTATGCTTCAATTTGGGGTATTATAGCAGTTTTACTGTTCAAAAAACCCCCACAAAGGCCTACCATTTGTAAAAGTAGACACTCCAGGGTATATCATATGGTGCATATTGTGCCTTAACATGCCCCCATTTTTTCACCAATATATGCCAAAGTATGTGGTAAAAAATAATTTTGGGCATTTTTTACATACGGATTAAATTTTTGCTGGGCATTTTGTACATTTAATATGTGCCACTAGGTTCAAACCCCCCAAATTATGCTCAGCTAAGTCTTCTGAGTAAAACAATATGCCCAATGTATGACCTAGACACTATTTTGTGAAGTTACACTGCTGTAAAAGAGACGTGACAAGTTAAGGTTTTTAAGTGTGAATTTTCATGGAGGGTTTTGATGCGTCCGTGTCCCACTTTGGAGCACTTGAGCAGGCTACATATTACAACTACACCATAAAGGCATACCATTTCTTAAAGAACACATCCCATGGTATTTCAAAAGGCATATTTTGAACCTTAGCGTGGGATAATTTGTCCGCTAGCTTGTACCAAGTGTATTGGTAATAAGCGTTTTTTTGCCTTTTTGACACACAAAGTGAGTTTGCACAGTATATTTTGCAAATCGTATGTGTGCTACAACTGTATAATACTTCATATGTTGCTCAGCTATGTCGGCTGAGTACAGCAATACCCCCATATGTACCTTTGCCTGGTATATGTGGACATCGGAGGGGCACAATTGGGACACAGCCATTCCAGTTCTTTTCAAACTTTAAATTTTTACACTGTGCCCATGTCGCATTTTAGAGTATTTTACCAGGCTATATAATCCAAATACCCCAAAAAGCCATACCATTTCTTAAAGAAGACATCCCAGGGTATTTCAAAAGGCCTATTTTGAACCTTAGCGTGGGATCATTTTTCCAATAGCTTGTACCAAGTGTAGTGGTAATAAGCATTTTTTCTGCCTTTTTGACACACAAAGTGACTTTGCGCAGTACATTTTGCAAACCTTATGTGTACTACAACTGTATACTACTTCATATGTTGCTCAGCTATGTCGGCTGAGTACAGCAATACCCCCGTATGTACCTTTGCCAGGTATATGTGGACATTGAAGGGGCACATTTGAGACACAGCCATTCCAGTTTTTTTCAAACTTTGAATTTTTTTTCAAACTTTGAAGGGGTTAATTTTATTAAAGCAGGGGAAAGGGGGGTTGGGATTTAACTTTATTTTTTTTTTTTTTACACAGGGAGAAAAGGATCAGCTCTGATCCGTCTCCCTGCACTTCACACAGAACCCTGAAGTGCAGGGAGGCGGAAGGTAAGTACACTGAGCACATGTGCTCGCTCTGACAGCCTGTCAGAGCGAGCACTGGTGCTGGGGCAGCCCGATCAGGTGCTCCCGGTCTGCCTTTAATACAGAGGCAGACCGGAGCACCGTTAACCCCGCGATCACCGCGATCTGGGGTTAACTTTAGTAAATGACGGAAATTTTCCGTCAACGGTCCTTAACTGAAGGACAAGGTTGACGGAAAATTTCCGTCTGCAGTCAGGAAGGGGATAAGGAGAACTTGGAGGAAATTGACAGTTTTAGATCAAAACAGCAAAATGTAAAACATCCTCAAAATGAGCTATTTTTTTTCAGCTGGATTACATTATTACCTATCACTCGTTAAAATGTTGAAAATTTAAAAAAAAAAGTCTTGCAATTGCCTTGACAATTCTCCACAATTTCCGGTTTAGTGAAAAAGACCCAAACTAACAAAAGTTAATTTGCGCAAACTTTCTTTACCTGTTAGATATTCCAGTACAGCAGCCATATATACTGGTGCTCCAACTCCAATTCTGTATTTGGGATGTCCTTTTTTAATATAACGTAGCATTCTGCCAACTGGAAAGATTACTCCAGCCTTCGCAGACCGTGAGGTCTTTGTTGTCTTCTTTTTACCTCCTCTGCTTGACATCCTGCTTAGTTTTGACCAGTAAATCTAAAACTATGAAAATAAAAATAACACCTGATGTTACAAACTCTAGCAAAAAATAAAATATGAAGATATAATACACAGGGCTAGACAAATTTGCTTGAAATCTAGGAGCCAGTTTATGTTTTTTTAACAAAGCTTAATTTTCAAAGACAAAAATAGAATTCTTAAAGGTTAACGTAATGTAAATTTAAGGTAGTGCTTCTGGTGTTTATGTCCTGTCCCTGCAGGACAGTCACTCAGACAGCCATTATAGGTGATTCCTAGTCTATTGCTGCACTGCATGGAGGCGATGAATGTTCCCCATATAGATGCACTGATTCAATGCATCTCTATGAGGAGGTGCTGATTAGCACATGCACAATAGCCTTCCAATGCTTTCCTATGGGAAAGCATTGGCTTAGCTGAGATCATCAAGATTGATAATCTCAGCCATTGAGGCAGGGCCAGCCACGGTGAGAACGGCGCAGTGTGGGTAAAAAGGTGAACACCTTTTCAATGTGATCGGAGGGCGGCTGGTCACCTAAACAAACACTAACTGAATGACACACAAACACTCACAGACTGACGAACAGATGCACACACTCACTGATTTGACACATGCATACTCACTCTCAGACAGATACACACACACTCCCTTACAGTCTCAGGCACACACACATATTCACTGACACACTCAAACACATTTTCTCACACACTCACAAACTATTATTAATTTATTATTTTTTTAATGTAGGCCCACCCAGGCTCACTACTTTTGGTAGAGCTGGAGTGGATCTTATTCCGGGTAGAGAGCTCTTCTTGCTTCGCTCCCCACAGTGTGTTTAGTAATGCCGAGGCCGGAGTGACGTCATATACCGGCTCCCAACATCACTGCAGGGGACGCGCAAGGCAGAAGGGCAACAGAAGACACACACTCACTGGCAAACAGACAGCCGCCTGCCTCAGAGGGGGGCCCGAAGGTGGCAAGTGCTGAATGGGCTGACAAACACCCAGGCGCCAGGACAAAATTTCTAGTGGCCACGGTGACCTGGGATTTGTCAAGCCCTGCTTTAGTGAATAACCATCTGTCTCAGTTTCCATTCATCAAACTGATTAGAGCTCTAGCTATCTGCATAAATCCCTATTGCACTATGCTTAAATGGACATGCATCACTTGTCAATAATTATTTTAAACCGGGAAACAAACACTTTTAAACAAGTATACAAACTGAAAGAATGTAATAAATGTTTATGAACATACTATAAACTTAGTCAGACTGTATTATGGAGCATGCCTCTCAGGTAAGGGTGTTTCTTCAACCCCCATCCCCTTACTTAAAGAACACTATAAGGTCAAGAATACAAATGTGTATCCTTGATAATGTTAAAATCACCATTTACATGGCTTTCCCCTTACCCCCCTTAAAAGGTAATACAACTCACCTTTATTCCAGCGTAGTGCAAGGCCCAGCCCCGGATCTGCCTCCTTGCTGGCATAATAAGAATTGTCAATCTCAGTCAATCCAATGGTTTCCATAGGAAAGCACTGGATAGGCTGAGTTTGACAATTCTGATGATCTCAGCTAAGGAGGCAGAGCAAAAAGCTGCAATGGACAATCAGCATCTCCTCATAGAAATGCACTGAATAAATGCATTTCTATGGGGAAAGTTCATCGCCCTAATGCAGAGCATAGAGACGCTGAATGTCAGTGCTGCACAACCCAGTAAAGTAAAATTCTAATTATCTCATAAAGAATCTAGTAATTCTAGTCAAGTCCTAGATAGACCTCAAGTGTTCAGGAGAAAAACTAGGTTAAGCTTTGTGCACCTGTTGCTATAAAATGAGAGGCAAGCACAAACCCCAGTTGCTAAGCCTTAGTCACACAAATACAAATCTATTATTGTCCTACAATGGTAATGGAAGCTCTGGTGGATATGTCTGTAAATCTAAAATGTTACTTTAACCATATTTATTTTTTATTAATCAGATATTTTAAAATAGTTTAAAAAATGCAAAAGTGTGCATTGCAGCCTAAAAACCATTGAGTGCTTCAAAACAGCTTATTATGTCAGTCTGGAAATGTGATGACAAACTTGTTTTCAATACTTAGGTTGAAGTGCCTGTGCGGTACACAAAAAATCCTGAACCTCAAAAAAAAAAAAAAATATCAAATATCTGTTGAGTCAAATACAATATATGTATATACATAAATAAAATGTTAAAGGTAAAATGCTGCAGTAAAAGAAAATATATAACATAATTACACAAAAATAGTAAATATTGTGAAATGTACATAGGTTTACAATCTGGCATACAGGACCCCCTTATGAATATATATATATATATATATATATATATATATATATACACATACACACATTTGAATACACTCACAACATATGAAGAACAATACTGTACATTATATCTGTTTTATGTTGTGTGTGTGTGTGTATATATATATATATATATATATATATATTTTTATATATATATATATATATATATATATTAGACATACAGAAGTGGAAAAGACCTACATATAATGCTCTCTATAGGAATACATTGTAATATGCTGCCCCATATATTTTGTTTTATTTTTAAAAGGCTCAGTGTAAAAACAACTTCCTAACAATGATTCCAGGAATAGAGAATGCTTGCTAGTTACTTACATTGCAGCAATATGTCTACTGTCTCTTCCTCAATCCCTGTGTGAACTGGAAAGACTAGGCTGTGTCAGTGAAATCCCACAATCCAACGCGAGGAGAAGCGTCACGTCCCATCTCATACTGTACACTTAGAATGTCAGCTGAGATAGAGCAATAGAAATGTTTCATTACAGGAGGAGTTCGGCTGTACCTTGGAGCTGCGCTATAGTAAATGTAAGGCACACGCCTATTGGACGTTCTTCTATTTTTTTATTTTTTTTTACAGTGGCAGACTTTCAACAGTCTATTTCTATTGGATAGAGATAGGTTGCTATCTTGAGCTTGCATTTATTGCCTGGCAGAATGTGGGCTTGATTGTTTTACAGTACAAACAGAATAAAGCAATCTACAGGAAGAGGGGCATTCTTTATAAACAGCCACACCTACCTTTAGTTTTAGCTAGGCTGAGTAATTTTAGCACAAGAACATTTGTAAACCACTGCCATTTTTTAGTGTCTGATAGTCACATTGATTTTTTTTTCTCAGACTTGTTAAACTTGCCTGGGCATGTTTCAATATTGTCTGTGGGGAATGCAGTCATTATGCATTAGCAATTAGCTAAGTAAAAGAATGTTTCAGATTTTTAGTGTGATTGATAGCAAGATAATGTTTCTAGGCTGATTATTTTTTTTTTTTATGGTACAACATTAGCTGTGATAGCTAGATTTTGGTGTGATGATTATTTTTTCTATTTAGTGTTAAATAATCTTTTTTTGATCCCTTCATGTGTTGGTATTTTAAAAATTTAATATCATGCACTGTTAGTACTAAAATATAATTTGCAAAAATAATAAATGCCTGGGTAGAGCTTCAGCACTTACTTATTACACCTTATTAAAATATTTGCAAGTAAAATGTATGTTAAGATGACACCTTTAAAAAATGTGGTTGCTACATGTGGTTGTACATAGATGTGCGAAATAATAATACCTCATGAAAAGGGATTTAATACAGAACTGCTAACAGCAAAGACGACTAATGAAACATTTGTTTTGGTGAATATGCATTTGAGTTCAAGGTTCATTTAAAGCACCATGACCACTAAAGCATTGCACCACATGTTGTTTTACTTCTGTTTCGAGCATACTAATTAACGACTTCTGTTTCAAGCATACTAATTATTGATTCAAAATACTGACTTTATTGCTGTGTGTTTTAAATGATTACTACAAGCACCAGAATTTGAATTCTGGAGTTCTGGACGAGGTAATTCAGATATTTCAGAGCTAAACTTGCATCTGATGCGCGCATGAACCAGTTGATGCCAGACATCCATTGACATTTGGGAGGGTGGCCAGGTTAAGGGTGTCAAGGTGAAGCTCCCCAACACGCAAACTAAGGGACAAGAAAGGCAAACAGCTAGACGTATTACCGGTCCTTTAAATGGCCGGACTTAACGTGAAGAGATAAAGGAATAAGAATAGAAATGTCCCCGGCAATGACACGGCTAATGCCGTAACCACACACCCAACAAAAGGATACCCCCTGCCCGCAATGTCACCATATCCTTGGTTAAACACGGGAAATACTGATAGTAACGGCGGGGAAAACACAAGCCCAACACGGACAATACCGCACGGCTAGAGACACAGGGCCCTATGAGATGCCCGACGACAGAGACCATAGTGGAAGCCTACGTTCCCAGGCTCCCACGCAGAATGAGCCCCTGACACACTGTGTGACCAGACAAGATAGCAGAGGAATGCCGACACATAGACGGAACTCGAACACAACAGAAGGGACACAACGCATACACTATAGTTCCTACGTGTACAAACGACACAGAGAACGGAGCTCACTCCACAAACACTGACACCTAATCAAGGACTGATTAACACAGTTCAAGTACGGTTACCTGGCATATTGTTCACCCAGTTTATAAAAACGTAACTTAACTTATATTCCCGAACAAGCGTAACACCAGAAAATGGGGACCTGCGAGTCCTTCCATGATGGGGCCTGCGAGCCCGACTTGTTACCTTTTGTCATACCATGCAATGGAGACCTGCGCGTCTCATCGAACCTTAATACATGCAAAATGAATAAAAACCATATTCACAAAAAAAGAATAGAAATGTCAGACGAGCCAAGGTCAGGGTATGACAGGGAAGAATAAGCAATAAACTAAGCCAAGGGTCAAGGATGCCAAAAGTACGGATAGCCAGAAAACAAGCCAAAGTCAGATACCAAAGAAAGACAAGCTAACAGAACGCACTCTCGCCTACAAGAAACCACGACAGGGCAAGGAAGTGATGTAAGAGGGAGGTATAAATAGGGCTAGGTGAGAGCTGATAGGCTAGGGAATAGAATAAGGCAGCATATAAGAAGAGTACCAGCTCACAGGAAAAAACTGTAATATCGCTTTGAATCCGGAGACAAGCCGCACGCCCCCTAGTCAGCAATAGCGTGCACATGCGCGCACACATGCGAGCAGTGCGGGCCGTGAGGAGTTATGACAAAGGGTTAATAAAAGTTACCTAGTGCTTAAAGGAACACCGGAGGATTGGAGGAAGGCAGATGTTGTTCCTATATTTAAAAAGGGTTCAAAATCCTTGCCAGGAAATTATAGACCTGTGAGCTTAACTTCTGTAACTGGGAAAATATTTGAAGGGCTATTAAGGGATAATATTCAGGAATTCATTGGGAAGAACTTTGTTATTAGAAATAATCAGCATGGTTTTATGAAACATAGGTCATGTCAAACTAACCTAATTGCATTCTACGAAGAAGTAGAAGTATAGATCAGGGTGTTGCAGTGGATGTGATCTACTTGGATTTTGCCAAGGCATTTGATACGGTTCCTCACAATAGGTTAGTCTTCAAACTAAAAGAAATTGGTCTAGATGAATATTCTTGTTCTTGGGTAGAACATTGGCTTAAGGATAGAGTACAGCGAGTTGTAATTAATGGTAAATTTTCAGGCTGGACAAAAGTGGTAACCCCCTCAGGGTTCTGTTTTGGGACCACTTCTATTTAACATGTTTATAAATGATCTTGAAATAGGCATTGAAAGCCATGTATCAGTGTTTGCAGATGACACAAAACTTTTTAAAGTAATAAAATGTGAGCAGGATATTGCTTTGCTGCAGAGAGATTTGTATAGATTGGGGGACTGGGCACTAAAATGGCAGATGGAATTTAACATAGAGAAATGCAAAGTTATGCACTTCGGGGTTAAGAATGCACAAGCAACTTACACTCTAAATGGTAGTGAATTAGGGATAACCACACACGAGAAGGATTTGGGAATTGTTATAGACAACAAATTAGGCAGCAATATGCAATGTCAATCTGGAGTTGCTAAGGCCAGTAAGATTTTGTCATGTATAAATAGGGGCATAAATTCTCGGGATGAAAATATAATTTTGCCTCTTTAGAAATCGCTGGTAAGACCACACCTTGAATATGCTGTGCAATTTTGAGCGCCTGTTCTAAAGAAGGATATCATGGCACTGGAGAGGGTCCAGAGACGAGCTACAAAATTGATAAAAGGAATGGAGCATTTTAGTTATGAAGAAAGGTTTAAAAAATTAAATCTGTTTAGTTTGGAAAAACGGCGCCTGAGAGGGGATATGATAACTTTATACAAATATATTCGGGGCCAGTACATACCTTTATCTGGAAATCTAGTCATAAACAGGGCAGTGGCGGATCCAGTGGGGGGGCAACGAGGCAATTGCCCCATCCTCCCCCGAGAAATCCGCCGGTCTCCCTCTCCCTCCCCTGCCAGCAGCACATGCAGGTGCCAGCCCTGCAATGTGCCTGCGGACCGGGGAGGAAGATCAGAGATCTCCCTCCCCGGTCTGCAGGCACTGTGCTGACAGCCGGCGGCGGAGGGAGGGAGTGAGAGAGAGGACCCGGAACTCAGCCTGCAGCTCCTCCGGGTCCTCCTCTCGTGAGATTTGGAGCGTTGCCGCGGTTACCAAGGCAACGCCCCAAATCTCGCGAGAGTGAACTCTAGCCCGGGAGCGCGGGCTAGAGTTCACTCTCCCCACTGGGACCACCAGAGAATCACCACTGGGACCACCAGGGACCAGAAATGTCCCCCCTCCTCCCCAGTAAAGGTAAGAAGGGAGGGGGGACATAGGATATTTATTTATTTTAATTAAATTAAAATATATATATATATAATTAAAAAAAGCCACACACACATACATTGACCCCAATACTGCCCCCCCAATACACACAAACTGCCCCCCCATTCACACAAACTGCCCCATACACACAAACTGCCCCCATTCACACAAACTGCCCCATACACACAAACTGCCCCCATTCACACAAACTGCCCCTATACACACAAACTGCCCCCATTCACACAAACTGCCCCCTATCACACAAACTGCCCCAATTCACACAAACTGCCCCCTATACACACAAACTGCCCCCCATTCACACAAACTGCCCCCCATTCACACAAACTGCCCCCACATACACACAAACTGCCCCCCATACACACAAACTGCCCCACATACAAACTGCCCCACATACACACACACTGCCCCCCATACACACACAAACTGCCCCCATACACACAAACTGCCCCCACATACACACAAACTGCCCCCCATACACACAAACTGCCCCCCATACACACAACTGCCCCCATACACACAAACTGCCCCCATACACACAAACTGCCCCTCATACACACACACTGCCCCCCCATTCACACAAACTGCCCCTATACACACAAACTGCCCCACCTAACACACAAACTGCCCCCATTCACACAAACTGCCCCTATACACACAAACGCCCCACTCACACAACCGCCCCCATACACACAACTGCCCCCATTCACACAAACTGCCCCCATACACACAAACTGCCCCCATTCACACAAACTGCCCCTATACACAAACTGCCCCCCATACAAACTGCCCCCCATTCACACAACCCCCTATACACAAATGCCCCCATACACACACACATACTGCCCCCACACACACACTGCCCCCATACACACACTGCCCCCATACACACAAACTGCCCCCGTACACACAAACTGCCCCTCATACACACACACTGCCCCCATACACACACACTGCCCCCCCATACACACATACTTCCCCACATACACACACTGCCCCACATAACCCACACACACACACACTGCCCCCCATACACACACAAACTGTCCGCCATACACACAAACTGCCCCCATACACACAAACTGCCCCCCATACACACAAACTGCCCCCATACACACAAACTGCCCC